AGAGATGGGGTGGAGATTTATGGATAGACAAGTGTTGACACTTTCTTCAGGTAATGCTATTGTTACAAACACATGGGCATAAAGTCAAAGAAATTATCTGTTGATAAGCAACAAAGACTCCTGCTAGAAATACAAGGCTCTCAGTCATGATGCTGGCACCTCAAAAAGCTTTTTGACTGGAAAGGCAAAGTAGTCTCCTTGGCTGCTGTACATTACTGTCAGTTCTGTGGTTGAGTCTCTCTTGTATGTGAAATTCTGTATTTTGTTATCTCTGTAGGCATGGTTGATATTTGTTTGGCCATTAGCTCTGCTTTGAAGTGAGTTGTAAGTATTCATGAGGATATGATCATGTTTGTGACTTGCAATACAGAAATTGCTCACCAATTATGCTGTGAGTAATGCTGCTGTGAAGCTCACATTAAATTCAGAAGCCTCATTGATAAAGCTAGGGATAAATCTTTTAAGAAGTAGGCTTTGGCATTGTTATAATTTTGATAAGCTTTAGTACAAAGCAACTTTTTCAATAACAGAAAATTGTATTAGAATTCCATGAGCTATCACTTGACATTCATATCACTGACTTTCATTTTTTCCTGCATGTTCTTTCCAAAATTTTGATTGGTTGGTGGACTCACCAAGGCTTTACGCTATGTTTGTCCTCTTACATATATGTTTGACGGAATTTAAGTACATGCACATGCACACAGAACTGAAACCAAGAGGCACCAATGCAAACAGCCATTTTTTCTATCCTTGGGTATTATTTAATTTTTGAGTCATGATCAGAGTCTGACTGTGTATTATCAAGCATGGTATTTTATAAACCAGTAAACAAAAAAGGACCTCAGATTCAAAGCACATATTAGAGAACATATGTTACGTATGTTATTACATCTTAAGAGAACCTCCCCTCTATTAATACACATATTTGCTAACACGTTTGGTAAGTAGGATGCTTTTAATTTCACAATTGCTGGTTCAGTAAATATGCCCTGCATCCTATTAGTTTAAGTTAAAATCTGCTACTCACCATACCCAAACTGGGACAGTCAGTTATTACATTGATAATAATGTGCATTTGGAAAGGTTCATGGGAATGCAGGTTTCACACCTGCTTCTTGTTATGATGCTTTATTTAAAAAAGACACATCATCCCACTATGTTTTTAATTTTAGTTTCAATAGCTTGCTTTTGTATGAGCTAACCAGTGGGAAATTTCTGCCTCACACTCTGTGTGAAGACTTTAAAGCTTTGTTCTTACCAAAAATGAACTATTTCTGGTAGCACAGCTTGAATTTTACTGCATCTATGGACTCCTTTCTTCCTGAACCTGATTTCCAATTTTCCAAATACCTCCTGCCTTGGCAGCCAGGTGTTGCTGTGTTGTTTCCAGCAGGAGCAACTTCCATTTGCTAACTTGCAAGTGCCTGGTTTTCTTCACTGTTTTTCTACTCAGTTCCCAGCCTGGAATACCCTCAAATCCTGTGTCGCCAGATGTCCAGATTCCTACATGATGGGCACATTAGAAAACATATAAAATAGACTGCACATTACATTGCCCATCTTTATGAAAACCTAGTATTTCCTTCCCTGAACAATTGCTCCTCCAAGTCTAATCAAAATAGGTTTTCCTAGCAAATGCTTTTTTAAACAGCTGGGGCTCGAGCTATACAGCCAAATCACCAAAATCACTTAGCACCAAATCACTTAGCACGCAGCTATAATACAGACATTTTATTTTACATAGTTTCTATCAGTTTCCCTTCATTCTCTTTTATAGTTCCTGTCAGTTTCCCTTCATTCTCTTTTCCTCCTTCAGGCCAACTGGTTCTTGGCATCTTCGTGTTTTTACTTTTGGTTTCTGTAACTTCCTATTGCAAGCACCAAAATTTTGTCAGTGACAATTATTTCAACTGCGCACAGTCTCATCCCCTCCCTCCATCTCCCCCAGCAGGGACGGGTCAGAAAGTTGCAATTTTAGCTGCTAAAATTTCCCTATGGAAATTCAGCAGCCCCTGCCTTGGGGAGGGCATCATGGTGATCACACCAGGCCTGACAGCTCATGGCTCCTCAGCCAGAGGGGGTTGAGGATCACAGTGTGATGCTATAAAAATGTATTATTTGTACAATTTTAGATGATACTTTACTTTGGTATATTTGTTAATTTTGTAATATCCTCTTCACTTTTTTCCTTTTCCGCACTTCTAACACTCACACTTTACCTTTTTTCTCCCCAACTGAGCTTCTAAAAAGTTAGTGGTTTGTTTTTGGTTTTTTTTGTTGTTTTTTTTTTTTTAAGTTTTAGCTCATGACAATTCAGTCTGCTTTTCTCTCTTTCTTCCTCTTTCTTTCTCTTTTTCTTTCTTTTCTTTCTTCACTTTTTCTTTCTTTCTTTCTTCTTTTTTCTTGTCTTTCTTTCTCTCTCCTTTTTTTTTTTTTCCTCCTTCTCCTCAATTCCCCTTCACCTTTACCCCTACGTTTCCACTTGCGATTCCCCTTTCCCTCCCCTGCGCTTGGCTTCCCCACCCGCAGCCCGCTCCCGCCGGGGCCGAGCCCCGCCTCGCCCCAACCTCGGGGCCACTTTTCTCCTGGCAACAAGTGACGCGCGGCGGGGCGGCCAATGGGGCGGCGCTGGCGGGGCCGGGGCGCGCCGCTCGGGCAGAGCGAGCCCGGCAGCGCGGCCGCTCCGCGCAGCCTGCGCGCCGCGGGGGGACGATGGCGCGGGCGGCGGGGCTCCGCCTGCCCTTATGCGGCCTCGCCCTGCTCCTGCTCTGCTGCGCGGCCAGGGGGGTCCCCGCAGGTAAGCCGGGCGCCCGCCGTGCGAGGGGGAGGCGGTGCGCGGGGGCGCGGCGGGGCGCGGCGGGACCTTCTCCGCCCCGGCGGGCGGCGGAGCGGGCGAGGCGGCGCTGGGACGGGCCTTCCGCTTCGGCCGGTCCGCCGGGCGGCAACGTCCAACTGAGTGGAAACAACCTGGGGAAACTTACTTGGAATAGGGAAAAAGGCAGGGAACCCCCGAATGTCCCTCACGGACCGTGCGCTTCGCCCGTGGCCACGCGAAAGCCGGCGCTGCTCCGCCGGCCTCGGCTGCCACGTTCCCGAAGGTGCCCGGGGGGCCGGGGCCGCCCCGGGCCGGGCCGCGGCCTTTGGCCGAACACCTCGGGGAGAGGAATAACCCGGAGCCGGGCCGGTCCCCGGCAGGGCGTCCCGCCGCTTTGTGCGCGGGGAGAGACAGGAGGGAGACTTCCACTGTCCCACAGAAAGCAGGTGGAAAAGTTTCACGTTGAGCACATTCTTGTAAGCCAAAGCCATAGCTCGGTGAGAGCTACTGGGAAACAAATTGAGCTCCTCACTAAGTAGTTGCAGCTTACGTATTTTCTATATCCTAAGGACAGTAACAGGGTAGGGTTTGTAGCTGAAGACGTCAAGAAAAACTTCATGGCCAGGAGTGTCGAACTGAACTAATTGGGTATTCAGAAATCGCTGTACAGAGAGATCTGGTGAGACAACACCAGCAGTTTTTCTGTGGAAGTTTTAAAAAGTGGTTTTCTACTTGACATCAGCATGAGGATTGTGGGGAAAGAAGTGAAAGAAGATGTAACGTGTTTTCAGCTGCTTCTCACGAGAAATCAGAAAAAGGAAAAAAGTCAGGAGGGGAGAATAAAAAGCAAAAAGCATATATAGCAAAAAGCAGATATAGTGAAAAGCCCACACTTCAAAGATACCACAAAAGTGGGTTTGGTTGTTAAAATGTCTTAGTTAGTAGGCTGACAAGGACAGTTGGTTGAAATGTGCTATTTAGAAAAAGTCACTGGAGTAGGTGTCTGACTTAGAGATTTTTCTTTAGAGTGTGACCAGCTCAGTACTATTAAGATACTATTTGGCACTTACACAGGGTAAAATTCATGAGTATACTGGGAAGTAGTGGTAAAATTCACTGCATAACATCACTGAATATTTTCCTTGCCGTTCAGCCAAACCTATTATTAACTCATAATAGAAAAACGCAGTAGGAATGTGATTGACAGTGCATTGCTATTAAATACAAAACACTACTCAGCAGATTCCTTATTTAAGCAGCAGAGAAGTAGCTTTGTGGGTCTGGGACAGCCAAGGTCCATATCAGCCGGATCAGTGAAAAGTTTTGCACTGTGAAGCCATCTTTATTGTGGTATAGAAATAACTTTAGGTCATTTTTTTCATGGTTAGCTTAAACCTACTGCCACTTGTCAGAAGTGTTGTTATACTGGCAGATGTGTTAGCTTGTAAGAGTAGGGTGATCCATATATTTTTTTAAGTTATATACTGTGCCTTTTTTTTTTCTTATGACATACTGCGTCACAACTGAAAATGAAACTCATCGCAACTGAAAATGAAACTAAGGTGCCTATATAATTTTTAAACTGGGACTCCTAATCTTTGGTGGGATAATCTTTCTAAAACCCTCTCCTCAAAGCAGTGCCAGTTTTTGTAGTAATACTGCAGTTGCACCTGCAAACTGGTTCACATGTTAACCTGTCATGCTGTGTATCATACATGATACCCAGATAAAAAAAAAAAAAAGTGCTTATTAAGTGAAGATTATTATTAGTTATGTTTTGTTATCTGCAATGTGTAACTGCACTTGCAGATAGGCATGAAGACCAGATTCTTTACCCATTAAGCTTGCAAAATAATCAGAGGTTCATCCAATCAGTATATCTTAAATAAAAAGGAAGTATTGTCATCAATAAAATTGAACTTAGAAGTCTCATTTTGTCTCTTCTCTATATTATAAAGACTTTGAAAGAGCTCTTTTTCCCTGGAAGCAAAGAGTAGTCACTGAAGATTAAAATGTACTGAATGTGGCTTATATGGAAGAGGTAGTTTAATGTATGAACAGTAGTTGCTGTACTTTTCTGGCAGCATCTCTCAGAATGTGATTACCCTTTTAAAAATGAGCTCCCTGTGAAAATGATGCTGAATCATAACCATATGTGGATATTTTTTTTGTTCTTATACAGGCAATGATGCTTTTACCATTCGCCACGACAAAGAGAACAAGTGCATACAAGTTAAAAACTCATGGATAGTGATAGATGACTGCAGGGAGACAAGTGAAGCTTTATGGAAATGGGTATCCCAGAATCGCCTCTTTCACTTGGGGTCCAAACAGTGCCTGGGACTTGATATATTCACAAAATCAGTGTCTCGCCTGAAAATGGTTGATTGTAACTCAGAATTAATGCTGTGGTGGCGATGTGCTGATGCTTCCATCATTGGTGCATCTCAGTACAAAGTGACTATCAAGAATACCTATGTGACTGCAAGCATAAATGCAACAGACCAGTGGAGAAGCAACAGTTCCTCCAGTGATATATGTCGGTACCCTTACCACGGTAAGTAAGTTTTTACAGGGGTTTGGAGATTTTTTGTTTGTTAAGGGCTTTTTGAGTATGTCTGTTCTGATAAGTTATTGAAATTAATTGTGTGAAAAGACTGATCAGTAAAGCAATAGAATGTTTGGCCATAGAGAGACACCAGTATTGAAATATGAAACTTCAGTGGTCTTTAATAAAAGTAACCATGCACAACTGCAGAAGTTGTGTTATCAAGTGACTTTCTTTGCAGGTTTAAATCCCTCCCCCCATATTTGAGTGCAAACATATTTAATTATTAAATATCATGCACCTTATATCAGAACTGCCACTTTTCTCTTCACCACGATAGGAATTTTGCTGTTAGGAGGGTTTGAGTATATTTGCTTTGCTGGTAGCTGTACAGTCAAGTCCAGAACATGCTGCTAGCTCGCAGCCTGCTGGACTGTCAGGAGCAATCCATTCACTTTGGTGTGATGGTCTGTCCACTTGCCATGGAAGCCAGTCTCATCGTAAATCTCATGCTTGCTGGAAGAAGTGGTGAAAACTTGCTTTACCATATTTAAAGGCAGAAGTTTCTTTGTATTTGGATTGTTCAAAGTGGCCAGTCTAAAGAGCCCAGTAGGCTCCAATTTGATAAGTTTTCCCCTTCCTGTGTGTGTTGGTTCCTAGAGCCTTGTTCTGAAGGACTCTGTGCAAACCACCAAGATTTCAGTAGGACAGTGAATTTATCCCTAACTTACCAGGATGGGGGAAACAACTTTTTGCTGTTTCGCAGAAGAAAAAGTACAGAAAAATATTTTTGTATAATTTGTTTCAGTTCTGGCATTGCTTTATATTATCTGTAATAACAAGATACAGTATTTTAAGACCACAAGTGTGATTTGCATGGTTTTAAGTTAACTGTGTCTGTACAAGCAGAAACATTTTCGCTGCCATTTCCATCCCTAGGCAACTTATATTTACTTTTTTTTTTTTTCTATTTTTTCCTGCAGAGGTTTATACCAAAGATGGCAACTCATATGGAAAACCCTGCGAGTTCCCCTTTCTGTATAATAAGACATGGCATCATGACTGCATTCAGGATGAAACCCATACGGGTGGGAAATGGTGCGCCACATCTGAAGATTACGCTCGTGATGGAAAGTGGGGAATCTGCTTACAACCAGGCACGTTGGGTTTCTAAATGAAGATCCTAAAAGCATTCTATCACCTCACACATGTGGGGCTCCACCTTGGTGTACCATGTTGCTGTTAAGCTGGATAAAAGCTTTTCTATTGCAGCATTGATTTACTCTGCAGTATTTTTGATGACTGATATAAAAATCAATAGACCTTCAATATTCAGAAGTTTTTCTTTTGAAACATTCATAATGTTTCTGTATAGTTGTAGTTACAAGTACCTTCTGCTTCCTTTAAACAGAGGATGGCTGTCATGATATCTGGGAACAGGATCCAGGGTCTAAAAATTGCTACCAGTTTAATACACAGTCTGCTCTTTCTTGGAAGGAAGCTTATATTTCATGTCAAAGGCAAGGAGGAGATTTACTTAGCATCCAAGATGCATCTGAATTAAGTTACATACAAGGTAGGTGTAATTATTCACATATGAATATTAGGATATCTTGATAAAGTAACATAAAGCGGAGTCAACATTTTAATTTCTATCCTAAAATTCTGGGTTAAAACTTCATTGTACTTAAAATGTTTTGGTTTTCATTTATGTAGGAAAACCGAGGTGCTGATCTCACTTTACAGTGTTTTTTAAATTTATCTGTATGATTTCCTTGTAGCGCTTAGTTGTTCATATTTGTAATTAGGAATGTCCCCAGAATCTCAAATGCGGACCAGAATGACAGTTGGTGTTTTAGCAGCATGTTACTCACTTGTTATGAAATTGTCCTCACTGATGTTCAGTCTTGGCCTGGAGGAATTATCCATGTGCCTCTGGAACTGTAAAACCAAAGGAAAAACATCGGAAGGCATTGGCAGGGAAGGCTTGTGTGGATGAATTTCTCATCAGTTCCAGAAAGTTTGCACGTCCGATTACAGTAGCAATCTTTCTTTTCTTAAATGCCTACTATTTCAGATCACATTTTTAATTTCAAGGAGACCAATAAAAGATGAGCATTTTATACTAATGGTTTTCTTTAAAAAAAAATCTCCAGCCAAGGATGACATCGCTGAGATCTTCTGGATTGGTTTAAATCAACTGGACGTTTCTGGAGGTTGGCAGTGGTCAGATCACAAACCTTTGAATTTTGTCAACTGGCATCCAGGTACTGATATTCACAATATTCACAACAGTAACTAGTATTTTACAGGGTTTTTTCCCCTTCTCATTCCATTTTCAGAAGCATCTTTTCCTCCTAGCCAGTGAATCTTTCTATTCGCATTCTATATTTGTGGCTCATTAGGTTAATAAATCTCTAAAAATGTAAAACTTAAATAGTATCTTTGAAGTCCCTTTTAGTAAAGAATCCACAACTTTCCTAGCTGCTAAATTTCTCCTCCCACTGACAGAATGGCATTGACTTTCCTCAGATATTATGACTCTTGGTGTATGTGCAAGGACTGACATTACTTAGAAGCTTAACTTCTGTTTTTAAACTTTAAGGTTACTTAAATTTGTTTCAAGGTGAAGATGAAAGGAGTATAAAACCTTTGAAAAACCTTTTTTAATTACTCCAAAGATCCTAGTAAGGTTGGTGAGACTCTTGTTTGTTAGGAATTTTCAGAATGAATTTGTAATATTCGCACAAATACATCATGGATATATAGGAGAATCCTGGAGAAATAATCGTTGGGAATACTGAAGATAATACTGTTCTGTCACTCAAGCTGAATTTGAGCTTTTTTAAGTGATTTTCTCTTTTTTTCCCTTTACTATCTAGAATAGTACTGCAACAGGAGTTCTGTGAAAAGTTGATAAGTGGTTTCTGTTACTTCTTTGAAAGCTTTACTAAGTAATTTCTGTGAGATTTTCCAAATGTGGTCTGTCTTTTGGAAAGGTTAAGAACTTTGCTGCTTGTACTACTGGCTGCACCTTCTTCTGGAACTATGATCACACTGCAGGACTGTAATGCAGAGCTAGAGGCAAGACTATCCTGAGCTACAGTGGCACGATTTAGTCTGCAGTCATAGCATACGTACTTACTGCTCTGGTGAAAATACTTTACTGTACTCGGTACAGGGAGAGCTTGGGTGCTCTCTGTAGGTCACAGCCAAAAAGTTACTTTAGGAAAGGGGCTCCAGGGGAAGGTGGAGACTGCAAAAAAGAGAAGTTATTTTCTGTGATATTTGTAATTTGGGGCCTTACCTAAAATTTCTGTTAAGGTAAGGGTTACGGTTAGCATTGAGAGAAAGTGCGGAGCTGTGTTTGGGGAAGGGACTGCCAAAGGAACTGCCAGAGGAAACTGAGGGCTGCAAAAACAGTTCTCCCCTGAGATATTTCTAGTCTGGGAAAGTGCTCAGCCGAGGGTTTGTTGTATTGTAACTACAACATTCCTCCTGGTTCTATGATTAAACATTGGAAAAGAAGTCCAGATTCCTTGATTCTGAAACTTTCTTAGAAAAAACTTTCAGCAGAACCTGTGGTAGGACAGGTGTTTTCATTTGATGCAAGTTTTCTTCAAATACAAGTTGCTGTTAGATGTGTTATTCTTGTATTGAAAAGCAGTAGTAAAGTGAAGCAGTTACTGCCTTACTGTTTTAGAACTTATGCTGTTCTGTTTTTATTTGTTCTTGTCTACAGATATGCAGAGTTTGTCCCCACTGGATGGGACAAGTTGTGTGGTAATGAATGCTGCTTCAGGTCAGTGGCAGAGTTACCACTGTGGGACTCAACTTCCATATACTTGCAAGAAGTCACTCAGTCAAGTTTCAAGCCTCCCAGGTAGGACAGTTTTCATTTTTGAGTTTTGTGTGTTAATGTGAGTATAATGTTCACTTATGGAGTCTTTTTTTTCCCTCCCCAAGCCTTCATAGGCATCTTTGCCAAAACATTTTCGCAACAGCTTTGGGTTTTTTAGCAGAGCAGAAGCAAGCTCTGTTTCTCCAGTGTCAAGATGATGCATCACAAACAGTTTTTATTTTTTGCAGCTTTCTCATTCACACATAAAGCATTTTGTAGCACAGTCCTGCCCTTTTCATCACATTTTCTTCCATGGCTTTTGCCTTCTTTCTTGCGTTGCTGGAGGTCTGGAACTGGCAGTTGCACCTTGAACCTTTCGATCTTCGCTTCAAGCCTGTTTCTCTCACTCTTGATGGGTATTAAAATAAAGTGGGACTTACCTGGGTCTTGGATCAAACTCTGTTGAATTAAAATAGAAGTAGTTAAATAACCTTACTATCCTTTGAAATCTGGCCCAGCACTCGAAATCAGAGTGCAAGAGTTGGTAGCTTGCCGTGTGTGTGTGTAATCTTTACTGGATCCATAACAGCTCTTACGAGATAATTATTCCTTTCTCCTTACCCACACTCACTTTTACAGTCCTTCAGTGTCCAGCTGTGACAGGGAGCTGCTTCTATGCTTCTGGACATTTACCTTCACCTAAATGTCCAACTCTTCCCATGTCTATGACCTGTTCTTCCATGCATGCTTTGGGCTTACCTAATTTCCAAGGCTCATGCTTGCAGGGATCTTCTGCAAAAACTTTTACTGGAAGGTAATTGTCGTTGGATAATAGGGAGGACTAGGGGATAAGAGGGATGAAGAAGCAGTGTTGTGGAGGGGGGAAGTGTCATGGACTGTCTCTGACTAAGGCATGTTCTCTCCAGCTCCCCCTGGGAAGGTGTGTGCCTTTGAGGAAAAAGTAGTAATCAGTTTAAATTTAACTAAACTGATTCAAATTTTCAAATGATCCCCTGAAAACTAGTTGCCAATTAATATTTCTTATCTGTTCTCTTGCTCCTCAGTGGGTTATGTAGAGTTGTTACCAGTGTTTATATAGTGTATTATTAATTAAAAAACACAATTCCTGTGATTGGAGTGTTTATAGTGTGTTTTGAACCAGAAGGGCTATTAGTATATACCTTTTCAGCGTACATCAAAACCAGTTTGAATTCTTTAATATCTTGAGGGGAAAAACAACCCTAAGTGTGCTGCAATCCTGCAATGACTTAACTTGATTTATCTTTAATTGCTTTTGAAATCTTGCTTACAATTACTTTTGAACCTTTCACTTACACTAAGGCTGAAACCTAATGTAATGCATTCTGGTCTTTACTTTCACTCACATTAACTTCTTTCTCCTTCTGCCTACTTCATGGCCCCAAAATATTATACGTCCTCATGGTGCTGCTCTTTGAAGTCTATTTGTTTGACTAAACTGTGACCCTTTCTTAAAAGATTAGCTCTGAAGAGATGCTAACACGTTCTGATTGCTGCATTCTGGCTGTTTTCAGGGTGCTGCTGGATTTAAAGCCAACCCCTTGCCCTACCCGAAGTAAAACGAAAGCCTCTAATTCCATTTCTCTTCATTATTAGAGGATTGGAGACACTTGGATACTCGCTGTGACTCGGGCTGGCTTCCCTACGATGGCTCTTGCTACATGCTGATAAATGACCCGGCACCTTGGAGCACGGCAGATGAATTGTGCAAAGCAAATAAGAGTAACCTCATCAGCATACACTCATTAGCAGATGTTGAACTGGTTGTTACAAGGCTTCATAATGGTGAGTTGAGATGGTTGCAAAGGTCAAGCACTAAGTGGTGCGCACCATAAATTCCAAACTGCTTTCCATGTTCTAGCATAAGCTTGTCATGACCTCTTGCTTTTAAATGCAGATGTTCATTCTGAGCTTGTACTCAGGCTGGTGCTGAATGTTGCTGTTCAGATCCAGGCCCTCTATGTTAGCTCTTGTTTTGGTTTGATCTGTCTATTTATTTATTTATTTACTGGGCTAACTTACTTCTAGGTTCTTAATACTTTGTGTTTAATTTCCTAATTCAAAGACAATAGTAAATAATTGGGTCAATATTTTGACTACTGGATCACTGTGTTACATCTTTACCTACACTCGTAAAATTAAATTTGATTGAGCTTTATTTGGCTTATGTGTCTGTTATTTCTGTTTGTGGATATTTTTTCCTTTTAGTTATGTTCTCTGTGAAACTCACTTATAGGCATGAATATAAGTTAAGAAACAATAATACATTGTGCTTATCTCAAATACCCTTTTTCACTGTAAGAGAAAAAAATCAGCACAGTATAGTGATAAAAAAATTAATGTTGCTGATGTCACATTCCTGTCCTATTAGTTTGAATATTATTTTGAAACTACAGTGTTGTCCTGATTTTAAATTACAGATGCAGAAGAAGAAACGTGGATGGGTCTTAGGAATGAAGATGTGCCAACCTTGTTCAAATGGTCAGATCATTCGACTGTGGTTTTCACATACTGGGATCAGAATGAACCAAAAATTCCTTTTAACAGCACTCCTAACTGCGTGTCATATTCAGGCAAGGTAGGAACACAGTGTTGCATCCTAGTAGAGGTGACATTGATGTGTGTGAAAGTCAAGGAGGGGGATAAAGCAGATAACTTATCTTATTTCTGGAATAATCTTTAAAATACATATAACCATTTTTCTACAAGCAAATTGCTTTAAATTATTTAACCAGAAGCTTGGTAGCTGTGTACTGGAAAGAATGGAAGAAATGACTCACAGCTCTGAGACTGTCACTTCTGTTGGCCAAACAGTTGTCCTTGTTCCTCTGCATTTTGGGTTAATGTATTCTTGCGTGTCTCTGGCAGAGAGCTAGAAAGGAGGTGGGGCAAACTATTGAAAGGAAAAGCTGGGTTCAGTCATCTTCAGGACCAGTTTGGGCCACCCAATCTGAGCATGGGTAGTGAGATACCTTGGTAAGAGGAGAGGACAGACACTGAGGCTATACAGTACAGAAGAAGGAAGGAGTGGATGAGGGAAGGAGGTCACTGAGATAGTGGGAAGCAGGCTGTATCCTATCCAGATTCAGTGGAAAAGTGGGGCAAGTTATTGGATCTCATGTGCTCAGCTTCTCTGAGCTGTGTCTGAGCTGCTTCCACAGCAAACTGAGCAGACCTCCTGCAACCATTCCCTTCCTGATCTGAGTTGGCACCGCCCTGGCCTTTTCTTTCCCTTTTGGATGTGATCCAGAACCCTCCCATCTCTGCACGTGCCAGCTTTCTCTCTCCTTCCAAACATGTGCCTATGCACACAACCCAGGGCATCTCACCTTAATATTTATGGTAGAGGCATTTTGGCTTTTGCCCTTGTGGAAACTCAGCCCTACAAACATGGAAATTGAAAGATGTGAGAATTTAAAATTTTTTTTTCCTTTCATTCTTACAGTTGGGACAGTGGAGAGTGAAATCCTGTGAAGAAAAATTGAAATATGTTTGCAAGAAAAAAGGAGAGATTCTGAATGAAACGAAATCAGATGAAAGATGTTCACTGGAAGAGGTAATAGCCTGTACTTCTTTTACTGTCACTTGGTTCAGAAAGCCTAAAATCTGCATAAAAGCACTTACTTCCTCTACTTCCATTTCATTCTTGTCTGTTCAGTAAAATCTATGAAACATTTTAGCTGGACATGTGTATAGCATGAGCCAAATTTTAGATTCTCCTAAACAGGCTCTGGAAGTATTATCAGTCTGTTTATTGATGAAAGTATTATGAGCCTGGACCCAAGAGATGTTGTGTTTTATTTATTTGTTTGAAAAAACAAATTGGAAGTGTTATTGATAACACCGTTTGTTCTGTGGTTTATGCTTTAAGTATGTTTTAAAATTTAAGATAAGCACTTGGCAATATAAAGATATGCAAAGATTGTTAACTGAGATTAGGTTTCTGTTACACATCACTAGGCTTTTATTTTTGTTCTGTGACTTGAGTAAAGGTGGGAGGGGTTTGGTTGTTTTGCTTTTGTGTGGTTTTTTTTTTTAAGGTATAACGTGTTAGCATAAATAAGGCTTAAAAAGAAGTCTCTTGTCTTTTGAACAAGCTTAGGATGGTATTACTAGCTACTTCAGTTACTTGGTTCAGTCTTGTGTGGCACATTACTTACAACAGGAAAAATGTTTACCCCTTATCTTTCTTCCTGTGCAGCCTTGGGCTATTTTTCAGTCTTTTCAGAGACCTCTAGCATGTAGAGTTACAGCTTTTAGTGCTGCTCAGACACCAGTGGCATTGGTAGGCTAGAAAAGTGTTAACACATTAATGTGCCTTGAAATTTCAGTGTAAATATGGGGAGAAGTATTTGAATAAAAGAGAAATTTTGTAAGTTCATCCTTTTTTTCTCCGAAGTAAAGAAACATTGGTAATGCCCTCTTAGTATTCCTCTGTTTGAATCCTGGTGGAACAGCATGAAAACTCCTATTGTTTTGAATAGGACTAGGCTGTTGCCCTTGTGTTTCTCTCTGTAAATGCACATAGTGGTCAGAAGACTCTACACAGGCAAGCTAAAACAGTGGTGTATTTTATTCCTGTGGCTGCATTATTTCTTATGACTGTGAATCTGAAGAGTTGATGATACTGGACCTTGTATGTGACATGCTGCGACACACTGCATTTCTTTCTTGTTTATGATGTGCCAGCTTGTGGCATCAGCAATGTTGGCAATGATTTATTTTCTCCTGTAAGTAATGCCTAAGTTAGATTGTTTTGTTCAAATGTGGTTTTTGTTCTCTAACCAGGGATGGGAGAGACATGGGAACTATTGTTACAGGATTGATAAAACGGAAGTTTCATTTGGAACACGGTGCAATCTTACAGTGATGAACAGGTAAAGCACATTTGTAACTTACAGGCAGGTTTAACAGTACAATCCTGGAGAAAGAAATCAGAGATTAAAACCTTTGTATGGTAACTAATGATTCATAAAGAAAAAGTAGGTAGAGAATTACTTGTGCTGAGAACTAGCAAAAACCGTTTTCCGTGGTGTGACAATGGTAAACCTACAGTGTGAACCTTCTTGGAAGCATGAGAATTCCCAGGCTGCAGACCCCATGTTGAATAAGGGACTGCCTGGACAACTGCTTGAACTGACTCATGTAGTAATACGTCTAGTTTTCAAGTTGTCATAGTTCCAGATATCTTTCAAATATTGACTCAGACCAATCTGCCAATTTTCAGATTTGAGCAAGAATTTATAAACAGTCTGATGAGAAAACACACTGAAGTTGACGAAAAGTACTTCTGGACCGGTTTGCAGGATATTAGCCAAACGGGAATATATTCCTGGGGTACAGTGAATGGGGAAAAAACGGAAGCTGTGACATACACTAACTGGAATTCCTTGCAACCAGGTAAATTTGAAAATCAAAAATACATAAAAATACTATCCTTTTACACTGAGCAAGTACCATGTTACAGAACTCCAGGCATGAAATAAAATAGTTAGTCACAAGCATGTCAGGTTTTTTGGGGAAAACCAGCCAGTGGTTTTAAATATGTTTCTCATGCCTTTAATCTTAGAGTTTTCAGGAGGATGTGTGGCCATGTCCAATGGAAATTCTCTTGGAAAGTGGGAAACTAAGGACTGTAAAACCACTAAAGCACTTTCGATCTGCAAAAAATATATTGGGCAGCCCAAGGAGCCAGAAGTGCTCCCAAAGCCAACTGATCCCTGTCCCCCTGGGTGGCACAATGGATCCGGCCTTGCCTGCTACAAGGTAAAATGTTATTCCTGTTTGATGTTAATTGCTTGTTACTGTCTTGGAGCAACTGTGTGATTATGTGGTGCATAGCTACTCTGAAGTGTGTCTTAGAGGTGTTTTACACCAGGAGGGGGAATTGATGTTGATGACTGCAGCATTTGCCCTGTGCTGCTGTCTCAGGGGTCTGTTGCTGTTGGAGGGCGCTGTGTCCTTATCAGAGCCTGCTGCCAACTTGCATGCAGAGACACCTGAATAGGGAAGGAAAGCACTTTGCATCACCTGCCCTTGTTCTTTTCCTTTCTATACTCTTAGCAGTATAGATAGGAGAGGTGGTATTTTCTCTGGTATGAGTATGGATATAAAAAAAGTGCAGCCTCAATTGCATTTTACTGTTTTTGTAGTGAGCAAGGAGTTTTACTGGTTTTGTAGTGAGGAAGTAAGCAGCTGAACTGTTAGATGGAATGGCTTAAACAAGTTTATATTTAGAAATGCAGGGTTTTCCCTCCTATTAACAGTGAAATCAAGTTAAAACTGAGAGTGTTCATTGGGTTGTTTATTCATTATTTCTGGACTCAGTGTTTACAATGAACTGTCTCTTGTAAACAGCTCATGTAGCAAAGTGGGGAAACCCAACTTGAATAACAAGGGTGTGGGCAAGCATTCTGAAGGGATAAGTCTAGCTGATGTGCAGCATAGCTGTCCCATAGCCGATGGACATGACAGCTGGCCCTGGCAGATTCTCCAGAACTGTTGTTGACCAAATGCAGCATGTCTGTGCAGAGAGATCTAGCTGATGGGAGTTGGCTTGGACTAAAGCCAAGGGGATCAAGTGGAAATGTTAGCTGAGGTGTATGAGCCAAAGTTGCAATGCTGATGCATACAGGTAGCAAAGTGTATGCCAAAGAACTCCTTCACCTGCAGCATCCAAGTGAGCCCAGTTTCAGGGAACATTAGGCTTTACAGTTCATGATAAATTTGAAAGAACAGCATCCCTTAAAACTTACACTTTGACTTGCAGTTTTGGAATGAGTTGGGTGGTGTTTTCTAAAATCTTTCTGGTAAAGAAAAACACAGAAAGTCTGTCATATGGAATATGTTGAGTTTGAAATAAATTTTGTCAGCTAAACTTCAGAGTCAGGCTGTTGTCAAACAAACAGGAAAAAAAAAATATTAAAAAGTGAAGTTCTCTCCCTTTGGAAATACCAGTTATTAAATCAGGTGATCTGATTTGGGATCTCAGGTGATCATGTTTGAGTAGTACCAGGAGTGTTTTAAAAATGCTGTCACTTGTGTCATGTTCTGCTCTGATGTTTGGCTGTTGTGAAGTTCTTCCACAGTGAAAGAGTGCTGCGAACCAGGACCTGGGAAGAGGCAGAAAGGTTCTGTGAAGCACTTGGAGGCCATCTGCCTAGTTTTAGTCACTCAGAAGAAGTCAAGGCACTTCATTCTATCCTGAGAAAAATGATCAGGTAACAAACTAGCCATGTTCTAAAATTTTGATTTCCATTGCTTTCTGCAGTAGATCGCAAATGCTGCTGACCCCAAATGGCAAGTATGAGACAGTGTGCAGTAACTGTGTTTCCCACAGTAAAAACAACTAGATGTGGTATTTGAACTGCCTTGCTGGAAAATGTCAAGGGAATACAGCTTGGGCAAATATTTCACATTGCTAAGGGCAGCACAGGAAAAGAGAAATGTATATAATGGAAGATACTCAAACCAAATTAAGTCTGTTGTTATAATAAGTATTTCCTTCTTTATGCTGAATTTTGGCACAGCAAGGTGGTAGTTAGTACCTATTCTTTACTGATATGTTCTTAAGAGACAAGTTATTATTCCAGTTTTGCAGATACATCTCATTTTTATTCATGAAATATTTTATTCATGCTTCCTGACTAAACTGGGTGCTATATTTTGAAAATGTGCATAATGTAGTGTCCAGCAATCTGGTTGGCACAGATCCCATTTGGCATGATTGCAATAACACTATATGGGCATTAGATGGGTGTGCTGAGTTTTCTGGTATCAACAAATTAAATGCTACATAATTTATGAGTTTAAACCTCTTTTTAATGAAATGAACTGTCATTGCAAAGCTTTATTAGGCATTGGTCTGATGTCAGATCCTTGTGTAATATGTTTTTTTTGATTGACAGCCCGGTTTTTCAGAACTTTTGCCAACTTAAACTCAAATGCAGCCAGTTATGTGATCTAAATTTTTTCATCAACAGACTAAATGAGGATTATATCAGAAGCTGCCAGCACACAACACTGTGATTAAATTTTAAAACCTGATGACTGAAGAGATGCCTTCTTGAAAAGACTGTAAACTTTTTTTAGAAGTGCACAAGTCATGAAAATTACTCAGTGTTTATGTTAAGAGACAAAAACAAACTTGTATGCTCTATATATAGATAGTTTTGCTTGTGAAAAAGCCACTTGTGGTTCCTTTGCTAAACTGACTGAAGTCCCTGAAATAAAAATCAATGCAGAAATTATTTATAGCTTAGATCTTATTAGACACTTTTGCAATTACAAATTTTGTTTTAGTGTACCTAATCTACTATGAAAAATAATTAGAGAAATTGTCCTACAAGTCCTTGGAACTGCTTTTCAGCTTGCAGACCATCTGAGGTATTAATTACAGTTAAGGACCATTTTTTTGTTAGGAGTTTAAAGATGGAGACTTCTGTCTTTCCAGGAAGTCAGCTAACACACAATGCTCCTGCACTTCCCATACTTTAGAAAACTTGAACTGAAAGAAGGAAAGTCCCAGTACTTCAGTTTTATTCTACCAGAACTTAAGATAAGGGGCGATATATTGAGCCCAGTATAAATCGACTTTGCAGTCAGTGTTGCAGTGACTGCACATGTCAAATATAACTAAAAACACAGTATTTTCATCTAAGCTAACTGCTTTTTCAGCACTTTTTTTTCACTTCATTCTGAACTGGTGTACTACGTATTTGATATTGCCTGAAGTATTTTAAATGATATTTGTTTGTTTATATAATATAATTGTTGAAGATAGTTTTGCTTTTAAATTACTCAGAGGTGGTGGTTATGTAAAATACTTTGGAGGTTAAGTGTCAAGGGTAGTTTGTCTGAAACTTAAGTTCATTTGAGAAAGGAGATAGGAAACCAAGTGAATTATTTTGCCAAGGACAAATAACTTAGCTAACTGGGAGAAATCATCCTAAGGTAATGTTAGATGTGGTTAGCTGCTGGAGTGCGCTGGCATGCAGTTTGTTCATGTTCCCTGTATTTAGTCAGTGCAAACTCTGACCTTAAGTATTCATTCAGTGCATTCATTTCAGCTTGGGGAAGGAGCCACACCTCTTTTGATTTCGGGTTTTTTCCCCTTGCACAGGTTCTCTGGTGACTCATTGAGAATTATTTGTTTTTAAATGCTAGCAAGAGTCAGTTTGGTTCACCAGGAAAAGGGCAGCTTGCCTAGTCCATTCCGTTCTTTACTCGTATTCCACCTTAGAGGCAAATAAGAGCTAGAATTGCTCCAGCCAAGTCAGGCTATTGCCATTGGAAAGGAAAATAAACTTTGCCTGCCAACCTTCCCTCTGGAAGAAATAGGAGAGAACCTCTTTTCACTTGAAGGGACATGATGATACAGGCAGAACAGATCTGGTTCAGTTACTTCCATTCTTTTAGGACTGAGTTTGTGAGCATTCTGCAGCTTATAGCTGGCAGCAGTGCTGGACACGGGGAGAGTAATACCTTGGATTGGTTAGAAATGACATTTCAGTGAGGACACCTTACTGGAAAGAAATCAGTTGCCTTTTATATGAACAGTTCTGCTGCTGTAATTATTCTGAATCTAGAAAGCCTCATGAATACTTGAGTTTGAAAGAAAAAACTGATCTTAACGTGCTGGCTAAAACAGCAATAAAGCTGAGATGCAGGCTGTAGTAATTGCATTAATTCAGCTTCTCTTTTCTTCCACTCAAGAGTATGTAATTAGCAGGATGTGATTTAGCTAGTGCAGTAGCCTTTTACAGGCGGAAGAACAGAGGTTTAGATGGGATTCATACATAGTTTTAGGCCAGTGCTGCCTAAGATTAAATGATGCCTTAAATTGCACCCTTAACGAGTTGGCCCAGATGTACAAATTACCTCATGTCAAGAACAAGATTGACCTACAAGCCCCAGTAACTTCACTTAGGCTCCTAATCTTGTGTTGGAGCTGACATAAAGGACAGAAAAAATAATTTTTCTATTTCAGCAGTTATAATATGATTAGAAAAATTACTGGTTTACAGTCCCTTTACATCAATCTAAGCTGTATTTATCCACTCCTGTAGAACATTGATTTTTATGAAGTTTTAGTCTGTGTGAGAGAAAAAACACCAGTATTCTGCAGGGATTGCTGGAGATTTAGGGTCTTTCATTGTTAATCAGTGTGGAGTCCATTGTAAAGCACAAATTGTACCTATTTTTTTAGGTTAAAACTCAGGATAATCTAGGTTTTAGAGACAGTTCCAGTGTAGCTCAAAGAATACGCTAGCAGTGGTAAATCCATTTTGATACAGATCCATAGGATGGATTTCAAATGCTTTGCAGTGTGAAGACAGATGCCTGAAGCACAAACAAATTCAGTGCTGCAAGCTTAGTTACAGTAGAGAGTCTTAATTCATGTTTTTCTTCAATAGTTACTGGAATTCTTTCCTGTGATGAGATAATAGTATACTTTCAGAGGACTATCAGAAGGCATAAAAGTACTGTCAAGTGTAGTGTAGCAGTTCCTGAATTAGTCATGGTCATGTCTGAACAGTTCCAAAAAGAAGCAAAATATGTACATTAATGTGTAAGAGCTTAGCTGAAAACATTGTTTTGTTTGCAGACCAGTAATTATAAAATGGGAGAATAGCTAATTCTTGACCTGGCACCCTTTTTTTTTTTTTCCTTTTTAAATCTGTTTATTATCTGAAAGCCAAATACAAGTTGACAGACTTTGAAAAATTGCTCTAGATCCTCAGGTAATTACTGCAAATTACTGCAAATCCTTTTGAAACAAGTTTCTCAGATGGCTGATACTAAGGGGGACTCTACCAAATAAAATACTGTTGCCCTTCTGGGATTTCATACTTAGGCCACATACTCTGGGCTAAACTTTTTCCTGGTGCTGCACTGTCAGTATTTTCAGGTTGCTCAGCATCAGGTAAACCTGGGTCTGAGTCCATCCCTCCTTGTAATAAAGTAATTTTCATAAACTTTCCACGTTCTGACTTTAAATCTCTTTGTTAAGTTTGTCAGCACTGCTTTTTTGGGAGCCTTTTCCAAACTCTGACCTCTGCTGGTCAGACATATCTTTCCATTTTTGAGCCTAAATTTATTTCTGAGATGTGGTTCATTTAGACTTGATGTCCTTGTTGCTCAAATAGCTCCTCTTCTTCGGGGTTTAGTCTCCTAAAATATTATAAAGGATAATTATATCCTTTCTCCCATCTTTCTTTGTAAAGGCTAGACAAGAAAATACTTAATGCTTGTTAATAACCTAAACTCTAATGTCCTCAAATGTCCTGTGTTCCTTCTCTGTATTTGATACAACATGAATTTATGGAATTAGTACTCCTGATACAGTCTTACAAGAGCCCTGTACTGTGGTATCTATACTCTTCTATTGCTGTCAGACCACTTTGGTGAGAGTACCTTTTCCACAGCTCTTTTGCAGTAGGGTTTCATATAGTGTGTGATTTCATAGAAAACTCATGGTCTTTCTCCCTCTGCTGCTTCTGTGTAATACTGTCCTTCAGAGAAGTGTCTGTTGCCTTTCTTGGGCAGGGGAGTGGATTAGAGTAAATTATCATAAACTTCACTAAGTAGCACAAAATTGATACTTTGAGAAGCTGCTGTACAAAACTAACCTTGCAGTTTGACTAGCACATTTAACTTCGTTATGGCATCTTTAGATTCATAAAGTAATAGTGAAGAGTATAGTAAAGGTTCTTACTGCAGATTTGAGTATATACATTGTAAACCCATTTTTTCAGGCAGCTTAGTATCTTGGAGTATAGTTGAAATTTTGGATTTGAGTATCCCTTGTTTATGAAAAGTGAAGAAGTGAAATTTAGAAAAAAAGACAGTTCTGACTGGACTGTAATTTCTATTGCCAGTCATTTATGCAACCATTGAAATTGCTGGTGTTAGGTGCTAATATAAGTCTATGCCACATTTATGAATGTGCATAATTGAAATAGGTGTCCATGTTTGGTGTGTTTATATCACTGACAAAGCTAAGGGAAATATGATGCCAGTTGTGCTTTATGAGTAAAAGCTTTTGTGTGATTTGAGGAAGAGTGTATTTGAGCTGGTGGTGGAGAGAGAGATGGCCTAAGATGGGCAAGAGAAAGAGAACCAAGGTGTATAAACACTCTGTGTGTGATTCTGGAAGAAAAGTGTAGAAAAGAGACCTTTACATCAAGTGACAACTGATGAAGTGGTGATTCAGCCAAAAAAGGAATTGATTTAGTTAGTTTTCTTCTGTACAGAAGAGGTCCTAGCCGTTATGCTTGTTTTCTCTTTGAACTCCTACAACTTGCAGTAGTAAACCTTTGTTTTTGCTGGTTGATCATAAGTAGTGCCATGACATAGGTCAGTCTTTTTATTAAATGTGCTGAACCATGCTTGGCGTAAGATTTTATCGTGTTTATTTCCAGCAATGACAGATGGGTATGGATTGGAATGAATAAGAGGAGTCCAGATTCTTTGGGAACCTGGCAGTGGAGCGATGATAAACCCGTAAGTTAACTTTTAACCTGGAAACATGACGTACTGATTTGTTTCAACTTGGACTGAATTGAAAGTAAATTGCTAAATATTTTAATTAAAATATGGCAGATCCTTCAGTAGATTAATAGTTCAGAAGAAGATTTTGCACTTAAGAGCTATCATCCAGGTGGATTTCCAGTTAAAAAACATATCTTTAATAAGGTTAACCTGATTTCTGTCTCCATTATATTAAAATACTTAATATAGTAGTAGTTAATAGAAATATAGTAGTAAGCATCTAAAAGCTGGTGGAGAGAACAAGTTGTCTTCTTGGCACAACAGAGGGGAGGGTTTATCAGTTCATCTCCTTGATATGTCAGACTTCTCCAAAAATAATCTTCTTCACTGTAATTGTTTTGTTTGCCTGAAATTTTGAGTTCTTCCCCCACCACAGTAACAGATATGGAGATTCAAAATTGATTGAGTAACTGCCATTCAACACATATTTTAATAGTAATAAACATGATGGGACGTCAGGTTTGAATGGTTTTCTCTTGGGTTTACCATAGCAAACCATACAGTGCTGATTCTTTCATCCTGTCCATCACCTTGTAGGTAACTAGTGTTGTTATGCCACTCGAGTATCTGGAAGATGAATATGATACAAGAGACTGTGCTGCATTAAAGGTTAGTTTCAATGTTTTTAATAACAACATGCATGTTTTTACTTAGAAGTACGTGGAAAAAATACTTTCTCCAAGCATATATTGAATTTAGGTTGAGATGTTTTCTTAACATAGTGAAAAAGCTGCTACTGTTCCCTTTATCAATCTAGATCTATTACTAATTATCCTTATTCAAATAGCTTTTTATGAACCAAGCACTATGCTAATGATAGGCTTTCATAAGACTTCTTTTGAACCTTTTTGACTACAAAATATTTTAGTAACAATGCTGTTTGCTGTTGCATAATGCCATACTGTGTATCTCTAGTATATTAAACGTAACTCTTAAGGATGTACCGTGGCATCTAAAACAAAAAATCAGAGCCCTACTTGTAACTTTTAAAGTCTAAACTAGTTTTTCTGAACTGCAAATTAAGAAGTTGTTTGAAACCTGAAGTAGGGGAATGGAGTAGCCAGGATAGAGAATGTGTTTGTGTTTATTTGATGTATTTCCTTGTTTACTGGTGAAATAGACTGTAAGTGCTTTGTTGGTTTTTAATTTCAAATGTCATACCTCTGCTTAATTCCTAATTGTGTTCTTCATTACTTAATTTAGTCTTGATGGCATGAGTTTTAAAATGACCTTTACCTTTTCTGAAGCATCGAGTCATCTTGACTTTTTACAAGATCATTCCAATACCACCCCTTTTAATGTAATTAGAACCACCTCTGCTTTTAGGACTTAATAAGGGAAAGGATAGTTGCATCCCTCTGCTTCTGTTCTCAGCCATTTCCCTCATTCTCTTTCACTGTGTTCATTACCCCAGACTTGAGAAGCTGGTTCAGCACTGAGCTTCTAAAAATTTTAGACAAAGGAGAGCAATTTGAAGGGGATGCTGTGAATGTGGTAACTTCCCTCTCCTAAGTGCTAGTTACAGACATGTTATTTTACTAAATGATAAAAAATTCTCCTTACTGGAGAGATCAGCAAAAGTGAAGTCAGTTCTTTAAGCTTGATTGTAAGAAATAAATAAGAAAGATTATTTCTGTGCCAGTTTCAGCAGAAATGAGAATCACTTCAGGGGAACAAGTTGCAACAGATAATTTAATAAAAAGCATCTATGAGATCCTGTGCGCCACAGAAACCCTAAGAAATAATATTGCTAGAAAAGAGTTCTATGTAACTGACCATAAGCCTTTACCTAATTGCTTCACTTGGGGAGTTATAGTTGAAGTTACAGTTGTATCTGTTCATTTTTTGCAAAATATACTGTGGGACAACACTAGAAAATACTCTGACTTTGCCAAGGTACTTTTTTAATACGGTTTAATTTTACATTTCAGAGGCCTATGCTGTGCTAACTCAATTCTCTGTTTCTACTTTTATACAGACCTCCCAGTTTTCACGGAGATCATTTTGGAGATTTTATTTCCATGAAGGCAGAGACCTGGAATTTTACTTCAGGCCTTTTGATTGTGAAGCTAAACTTGAATGGGTCTGCCAGATAACTAAAGGTAAACTGCAGTTACATCCATTTATTCATGTAAAGAGTTTATTACAACTGAGTTGTCAGCGTTGCCCAATAATAGAAACTTTGCAAACAATGTTTTATTGTTTCCTTTCTGAACTGCTGAGAAGACAGTACATGAAATGTTTCACCTGTGTCATGTACAAACAGATGAACAATTAGAATATTCAAAGTTACATCAGAAAATAACTATGAGGAGAATGCAGTATCACTGCTCTCATATTCTTTCTAGTCCTGTTAAGTGAGAGATGGTTTCTTGTGAGGTGATGCAGGTCACAGACTTGCAGAATTTGTGTACTTTACTTAATCTTTCTTAGTGATATTTGTAACTATATCGCCACAAATATCTTGGGTGTACAGTTTGCATCAACCTTAGGTGAATTAGCCTTCTGGTAAAACTGCTGTACTGCCTCCTCAGTGTAGTGAAAGAGAGGAATAGGAATACAAAAGAATGGCATGGCATATCTGCACAGATCCAGGATTTCTCATGCAGTGTGAAAAGTTACCCAGTAGACTTTTATATTTTGGTTTTTCATTAAAAGGTGTTTCAGGGGATGAAGCTTTCTTCTTGTGGTGAGATCCTGGTAGATACACTACTTGGATGCTTGTATTCTACTTGAGAGATAAAAAAACCTCACAGATGTTTAAGACAGAGGTATCAAGTACTCCATTAATTTTACATCAGCTCATTTTAAACTGTTAAACCTGTGTGTGATTTCCTTCTCCTTTTGTTTTTTCCATCATGAATAGTGAGAAATATGAGTATTAACCATCTTCCGTTATTGGTGGCTACAGTCTTGGTAGAAGGTGAACTCTAAGTGACTATTTTTTTTTTCCTTTGGGCAGGTAGCACTCCAAAGACACCTGAGTGGTATATACCAGGTAAATGGACTTCTTGTGTATTCTTCCACTATGTCTATATTGTTGTTTATACTCAATATTTTTTATTAGGGTTGTTACATTGCTACTGCAATATTTGTTTGATACCAGGAAAGGTTATGATAGATGGAATTTGATTCTGAGAGAGTTCAGAATGCAGAGAGTTGACTCTTCCCAGTGTCAAACTGAGATTTCTTACTACTTTCAGAAAAGGATTAGCTTTTCAGAATTGATTTCTTACGCATGTGGTGTTTCTTCTGCGTAGATGAAATTGGAATTCATGGACCCCCACTTGTTGTTGATGGAGCAGAGCTGTGGTTTGTACCAGATAAAAACTTGAGCTACCAGGAAGCTATTTTCTACTGTCAAAAAAATGATAGTGATTTAGCCTCTGTGGATTCTTACCCAAAACTCAGGGCAATACTGTCTCAAATAGAAAAGGTAAGGCAGTGTAATCGCTTTTGACAGTTACTTTACACTGTAGGGAAATTTTCTTGCCAGGTTTACTGTTATAAGAAAATGTTAATCCTTAATTTCTTTCTTTTTCCTGTTGGCCTTTGTAGTTCTCAATTATACTGAAAAGGAAAAGATGAATTTAATGAGAATTATTTTAATGGCAGTCTTGTAAAAAAAATTTTTATATTGAAAAGTAGACTTAAAAACTTGAAAAAACCCAAACCACTCCAAATGGAGAAAAAGTGTCATAACAGGACCATGGTATAAGCATCTCATTGTCTGCAAATATTTCATTAACAGTTGTGCCAGTTCTTAATTTTATGCATGGGACAAGACATAATTTTTCGCCTGATGAGAGGACTTAATTATAAATGCATGATGGTCTGATAGGCTTTGCTGAAATGGGTTTGTGGTATTCATAGCATGAAAGTACATACTTTTAAGGAATCTTACAAAAACGTTTCAATGCCTCTGTGACTAATTTTGTCATTGCTTTATCTTTGGTAGAGTCTGGAGCTCTTTCTCTGTGGGTTATAAAATGCTGGATTTTCTTCTTTTTTCCACAGTTATCAAATAGCGAACAGAAGTGGTGGCTGAAGTTTATTGATTATGGCTACAGCTATCATTCACCGTATGTAAAATAATTTAAAGATGCTTTATTGCAAACTTGATGTGCTTTTCAGGAATACAGTTAACTAGAATAGTTGATTTAGAGTAATTTAATAATAACTGAATTAATAATCTAGTTCTTTTTTTGTCTATCAGAACTTCTAGATTTTGGGCTTTTGGGCTTAGGCACCTTAGTCTTGCCATGGAAATCTTTGAAATCTGTAGTCCTAGTAGCTGATGTATTCCCTTGATCTTTAAAGTGCTTTTATTGGATTTTTAAACCCACTTCTATGTTCTGTTAATACTTGAAGAACTGACAGAACCCAAAAGCCCTGTCTGTTGACTCTGAAAACATATGAGGAATACCTGAGAACAGGGAATAGGAAATTGGTTTAAAACATCACTCTTCCAGTTAGGTAATGCCAAGAGTCTTGGAGGGCTTTCAGTATAGTCCTGTAGAGTTGAGATGACTCAAAGCAAACCTTGCTTCATGCTTGTCATGGCTGCAGAGAAGATTCACTGTCTTCTTAGAAGGAAAATCCTTCACTTTCCAAAATACTATAGAAATATACTACCGTGAAAAGAAAACCAGAGTTATTGCCCATTTCCCTCACTTGTGCTGGCAATGTGCTCTGATTGCACATCTCAACAAAGTTAGTTTGAGCATGGTACATAGTCTACTGAACCTACCATGTGTTAAGTCCTAGTCTAGTCTAGGCCATGTAGAAACAGATACCAGTATGCCCATATTTTAGTGTGCACTGACTCTGTTGCTATCAGAGCTTCCTCTTGAAGATCACGTTGGATTGGAGATTAACTCTGAAATACTTATATCCAGTTTACAGTTATTTCCACGCTTGCATGATAGATTCCTGAGAGAATGCTGGTATGTTTCTAGAAAGAACTGGTATAGAGGTAAGGCTGTTTTAATTTTTTTACCCCATCTGTCATTACTATATTTGTTTTAAAAAAAAAAAGAAGTAATGACCATTCTGCCCAAATTCTTATATATGGATGCAAATGATACTGAATTAGGAGTGAATGACTTGTTCATGATAATCTGATTGAATTTTGAATCATTTATTACTTCCTCATGGTAGAAGCTATGGGTAATATTTCTTGATGATCAGAGGCAAACCTGAATGCAGGTGACAAATTTTGTTGATTGTCATTCTTTTTGCAACATACATTAATTAGGTGAAATCTCAATTTGGTGGCTACCTTTCTGTGTTTATGCTGTGTATTCTAACTCTGGAATGTAAGTCTGAGAGTTGTGTTAGTTAAAGCAGGTTTGACTGCATACTTGCAACCATATATACATCTGGAGGTGCAAATTTCATTAAGTACTGTAAGAGGTACACAAATTAATGGAGAAGCCAGCTGGTGGCTTATTTCCTTTTTTATTGAAGCTTATTTCCTTTTTTTCAACACTGTTTTATGTTGGGGAAAATTTATAACCTCTGGAGAAGAAGACACTCCTCCTGTCTACTACCATTTTGACTTTAAATCATGTTTTCCCCAACATTCAGTTGTATGCTGCTGAACTGTTTTCATCTTTATTAACCAAAAATTGCTCTTGACTAGGAAGTCAGTCCAGTTACTGAAGGAGTCATGTAAAGCAGTGCAGGCGAGGTGCTCTCCACGTGGATGCTGAAGGATTCCTTTTGGCTTTAATGACATTTAGGTCACATCCTCTATGCCAGAATATGAGATTAGTCCTCATATACAAAATCTTTTTTCATTATTTTTCTTTGTTCAAGTTTTCTCTGCCTATATGAAGTGTTACTAGTGGAAATTAGGGTCAGACTCTAGATTTTTAGGAATTTTATATTACTGTCCAATATAAATCATTTACCTTTGCCTTCTTCTCTACTGTTATTTTTAATGCTTTAGATTGCGTAGTAGTAGACTGTGGTTACACTGAAAAGGACTTCCCTTCAGATTGGTCTTAGTCATGTCGTAAAGTATGGATGGGAATTGGAATGTGACATGGCATTATCATAACTGTTTTTTAAAACTTCTGTCTCTGCAGACTACCCAGTTAACTGTAACGTGAAACTACCCTTCATCTGTGAAAAAAATAATGCCTCCTTACTAGAGAAACATGATCCCAGTTACCGCCCAGTCAGAGGAGGTTGCCCTAAAGGCTGGCATCAGTTTCGGAATAAGGTACAGTGATAATACAGATTAATCATCCTTACCTATTTTTCATAGTCCAGTTACCTGGAATGCTCTTGTGGAAGAGATGAGGAGGTAGCCCCTGTGTTGAGGAATGAACTAGGCTTTTGAAAACTATGAAAACTGTGTAGTGGTTAAAATAATCTCCCTCACTTCTGTCCCTTACTCAGGATTGATAGTTTCTTAATTTCAAAGCATTAATATTCAGGCTTTTTTGCTTTCCCATCACCACATGTTTAGGTCCAAGAGCATTTGTTGTGTTGTCTGATCTTGGGCTCTACTTGAATGAAGAGAAGGATTAAAAAGGGAGAGGATGAGGTTTCTGTGGCAGAAGTATCTTGATTCTCTCTGCTGAGTAATCTTAGGCAGGCAGCAAGCTGGCGGACAGTTTCCTTACTTGCCTTAAGGACTTAACTCACTTAAGAATTAGAAGCAGCTTTTAGGAATTAATCAGCAGGTCAGAAGCCATAGTATAGTCTATTTCAGTAGTATGTTTTAAGACAGTCATCTAAAGTCTTAGTGAGACTCATTCCTGTTTGGTCCACCATTATTCTGTATGTGTCCATCAGATCTGCACATTACATTGTGCTAAGGTTTCCAAATTTACTTCACGTCATTGCATAATAAAGCTTTTGAGTTCCCATGTAGTTTTCCCCAAAAGGTAGTTACAATACAAGGCATTACACTATCTGACTGTAGAGTTCATGTGTGAGTTCTCATTCCTAAAACAGTACATGATTCTGATGTAGCCAATAAAATTATTGAATTCTAATCCTCAGTGAATGAGGAGTTAGTCAGTGGGATCATTTTATATTTAGCTATTCTGTTTCATCTAATAAATGCTTGCAGCTAGTATCAAGTTCCTTGCTTCCTGTGAAAAATAATTATGTGTTGTTGCAGGAAATGAGAAGTGAGTTTTTAGGGTTGGTTTAAGAACCTTTTCATATTGAGTTATTTCTTAAGCAGAATGGTAGGATATGAAAATCCGTTTCATTATGTTTGTTTTGCAGTGTTTCCAGAAGATGAAACCTGAATATTTAACATTTAATGCAGCTAATGAAAAGTGTGTAACTTTTGGAGGCTCTCTTCCATCTATCTCAGATCAAGCTGAGCAAGGTATGATGGTGAACTAAGGGCACTTTTAATATGCAGCTTCACTTCCAGATTCAGAATAGTTCTGCTTAACAACTTGAAATCATTTGGTTATCTGTAGGCATACTGGGAACATTCTAAAAATCCAGGACCAGTTAAAGATGTATGGTCTGTTGTTTGCATCACTGGAAACATAACATGGAAATGCAGTCAGCAGACATTTGAGCCAGTTTGAAGAACAGCTTCTCTGTATGATCTTAACTTGTTACAACAAGAAAAAAGATTATAAAGCCCTGCTTTGAGTTGAGCATAGAGGGGCCATCACTGAATGAAGAATTCCTGTGTTTCGCTTTGCAAGTTAAAACATAACTGAGAGTGTAGACTTTGCTCTGTGAAAACTACCTTAGGAGCTGCTTCCAAGTTCAGCTCAGCTGTCTGTGTGGGAATAAGGTGGCAAACACAATGCCTGCTGGACCACATAGGACCCTTTGTGTCTGTGTGTGCCTAGCAGCTTAATATGGCAGTGTGTCCAAACTGACCACCTGCAGGCTCTCCAGGGCACTGATGGGAGGGTGGAAGGCAGGAGGGCTGCAAAACACAGAACTGTTCACCTCTCAGCATTCTTATCAACTAGAGTCAATGAGGGAAATGCAGTGAGGAAAAAATGAGTTCACATTGGCTGCATGTTCAGCAATAAACCATTGAATGATAGGGCTGAATTTGCAACTGTATTCTTGTGGGTAATTAAGAGTTCTCTGGGAGTATATCTGAAGTAGCTTGGTTGAATTCTGCAAAGTCCAGGGTGCATATTTTCTGTATGAACCAGTAACCTCTTGCCAAACAAAATACAGCTAGTAGACTAGAGAGGTCACTAGTGTACCTGCAGGCAGCAACTGAATGGTAATTTTTTTTAACTGCTGTTATTGGGGAGAAATAGGGTCATATGCAGGAACACACATATCTGAGGCCTGCATGTTTTTGGATGCTTTTAAGATTGCCAAAGTATAGCCATTCTGAAATATTACATAGCAGGATCTTTTGTGTGATTTGGTGCATATGGAAGTGCTTGTTTTGCTTCTTGTTTGTCTTCCTTTCCCCCATGTAGTGGAGATCACCTGTATGGAAAGAAGACACAGTGTTTTAAAGAAGTGCATCTCTTTCTGTAGGCTACCTCTACTCTTCCCGGTGGCATTAGGTTGCTGACATAATCAGCACAGTCAGGCATTAGCTCTGACATAGTCTGGCATGTGGCCAATGGTTAAAACATGTCAGCAGTAGCTAATTACATAGCTTCACTTTTGTCTTCCTAATCTAGTCAAGATTAGTGAATACCTTTGGTGCCTGCTGGGTTACCAAAGCCCATTGTTTCTTGCCAGAATGCTCATTAAGAGGGGTCTGATTTAAGGTTTGCCTGGCTGAATTTTTTCCAACTAAACCTGACTTCTTTTGTCTTGTCCTGCTTTCTTTGATGGTGGGGTGGAAAAACTCTGCCAGAATCTAAAAACAGTTCTGATTTATAGTATATGGAGAGAAAGATAGGAGATAAGACTTCGTCAGTTCAGAGAGGGCAGGAGGGAGCTCTTCTATTATCTCTGCAGGGAAACAGTAGAAGATCTTGCAGACTTGGGGAAATGCAGCTTCTGAAATTTAGATGTAAATGCAAGAAAACAAAGTAGTGGGCAGAGAAACAGGTTAAATCTGCTTTTCAGCTCAGAAGTTGAAGGGCAAATACAAATAGCCTGCTCCTTGCAGATAAAAGTCAGGTGTTACCATATGGAAGTAAGGAATGGTAAGCATTTGACAATCATGAAGGGCTGGGAACATTAAGTTAATATAAGCAGGTGTTGCATTGTCTTACTTATGTGAAGTGTTTTTTCAACTGTTTGCTGTTGTTTTCTGAACCACAATATGTGCGTTTACTGTTCTGCCCAACAGATTATATAACATCCTTGCTTCCTGGTATGCCAAAAGATATTTGGATTGGTTTACAGTTTCTGTTCAGCACAAGAGAAAACAAATGGATAGATGAGAGCAGACTGATGTACAGTAACTTTCACCCACTCCTGACAGGAAGATTAAGGAAAATTCCACTGGATGTAAGTTCCAACTTTTGACTTCTCTTGCCTATTGAGAACTGTATCCAAAAAAAAACCACAAAAAACCACCACCAAGCAAAACAAACAAACAAACAAAGCCACAAAAACCCCACACAAAACCACCCCAAACAAAAAAACCCCACCAACCCAAAAAAAGCATGTATCAGACAAAATCCCCTAGTTAGTCATTTTAATTGGCCAACAAGATGACTGACAGTAATGGAGTTCTGTTTACCTTTATTTGGATGACAACTTCTAAAGTATATTTAGCTTAGGAAGTCTTTCCTGGTCCAAGCACCTGGTAGTGTTTGTAAAACAGGTAAGCTGTATTGCACCACTCCTTTGAAACTCCTTAAACAAGTTCAGACAGCTGGGGTTGTCCTAGCCTCATGTTACTTCACCTCTGCAAGAGTATGTTTATGGCTTATTTAGACTGATAAGGGTATTTCTCTCTCTCAGCTTTTTGATGAAGAATTTAACAATCAGTGCGGTGTAATCCTCAATGATCCCAAATCACAGTATGCTGGAACATGGAATTTCACTGCTTGTGCTGACAGGCACTTCTTGGGTATATGCCAGCGTCCTACAGGTAAGTCTAAAGAGTCAAAATAAATTACAGCAGAGTTTGCACTTAAGGTGCATGTGCCAGGAGACTTTTTAATGCATGTAAATTATTTCACTTGAAGAGCAAGATTCTTGTAGAGACTGAGCAGGTAAATTTAGGAAAAGCAGAGTGTGGAGGAGGATCTGGGACCTCTTTTGTCAGCCATTCAGAATTTTCTCTGTTGTTTTTTATAGCTCAGTTCAGAGGGAATCTGTTTTCCTGAGAGACTTTGTGAGGTTTCAGTGGAATTGTACTTCAGCAGATGGATCTTTAATGTTCTATGGGTATAGAGGTGATGTACATCAAGGGGTGGAACAAGTGACTCTGTTTTCCTTTTCAGAATTGTGGAAGTGAGAAGCCCTGGGAAAGGTTCTCACAATATTTCTCTCTTCCTTAAACATATTCTGTGTTTCTTAGTACTGTCAGAATATAAGGTATCATAGACTCTTAATGCTGAAATTGGTCTCTCCAGAGCAAACTTGAGGGCTTACATGAAGAGTGATGATCTGTAATGATGCAGCTTTCCCTAGCTTCATACAGATCTGTTGATGTGAGTGGGATTTCTTAATCTGAACTAAAAATAATATTCAGATGTACCCACGTGGGTTAGCCAGTGCCATTACTGGAGTAAGATCAAACACATTTAGTTATTATATGCATTTAATTACTGCTATGGGCTAATGTTCAAAACACCCACTTCTGAGTAAGTTCCTTTATATAAATAATCCTTTTAAGTAAAGAACATGCTATCTTCTAGAAAAAAAAAACAACAACCAAAAAAACCTTAGGTGTACAAAACACCCAAGAATATGCCCACCTTCATTCTCAAATAGGCAGAGATTTCTACCTCCCACCCCTCCACCTCCATTTAACATATAAAAATCTTCTTCAGTGCCAAATACTTCATAAATTTCAAATGTTGAAATTAGAAGTCTGGATGGAAGAGATGCTGTAAAAATTTGAAAAGGAGATTTTTATGAATAGGAGGTTGACAGTGTATCTGTTTATATCAATATCTTATTAGTTTGGGATGACTAAATACTAAGTGCTTCTTTACCATAGCTGTAGAAGTAATGAGACAGGTTTTTGGACTGACAGAATGTTTCCTGTATTACCTGGTCTTATATCATCATTGTGTTAGGGATCTAAGGATAATTTGGTTTGGAAGGGACCTCAGCAGGTTGCAGCGACAGTTGTGAGGGAGTCCAGGTTGCCTAGGGCTTTATCCCAGAGAAAAGGACAATTCATGTTCATTGGAAATCTTAGCATGATTGTGATTTGTAGAATTTCTTGCGACCGTAATCGCCACCAATTATTTTTTAGAAATGAACACTTTACTTACTGCCTTGTTTCCAATTTGGTACCTCTTGATGTGTGATGGCACCCTGGGTTCCATGGTTATCTTTTGTAACTGTTTACTAAGTGAAAGCATTTGGCAGCAGACACAAACCACTTGAAACAATCTGTTTCAGCCTTGTCACTCTTCTGCTCTATTGAAAGCTGTAAATATCAAATTAATATTGTGTTTCTGTCATCTTGTAGTTTGGAAAATGGCCCTGTCAGCCTATTGATCAACATTTATTTCCTGTTATTTATGAAGTGATTCTCCCCCTTCCCCCACGACCCTTTTCCTGCTTGAGATATTTTAAATATTATGGGTTTCTACCTTTTGGAGAGCAAATTTATTTTTGGTTGTGTATAAAATTTTTGGGGTTACCATTTGTATGCTTTAACTTACCATCCACAGGAATATTTATGTCTTTTATTCACTGCAGTTGTCATGCATTGCTGAACTATATGCCGTCAGGTACGATGCTGATAACTCTGATAACTCAGTGCCTGGAGCACAAATAGTGAATTATGTCCCTCCCTATGCAAGGTGGATTTTCTGCAATTAGTTAAGCACATGTGGAGGCAGAATCAGTTGTCACTATACTCATGGATGGCAGTAAGGAATTCTGGGACTATGCAGTACCAAGATCTGCATAGACAACTTTTGGGGCCCATTAGATTTGCATAAGCCACAGGTTTCACAGAGATAGATGAGTCAAGTTTAGCTGTTGCTATCTTGCAGCAGAGAGCAGTCACTCTCTCCCATTTGTGTATAATTAAAGTTATATAATGTTTTTAATTCAATATGTTATTTAGCAGTTAGTTAAAAATACCAGAGATAAATAGATGTGAACCTAAGTTGAGAAAAAAGATACTTTAAACTACACCAAATGAAAATAATACTTATTTTTAAATATGTAATTTTCTGTCTAAGGTGTCAAAGATATTTGCTTCTGACTATAATTATAGCATAATCTACTGTCTAAGATTTTTTTTCCAGATGTTATTCGATTTTTCTGATTGTTACAGAGGCATTGGGAGTTAAATATGTATTACAGTGTTTAACTACCTAAGTACTGGATTTGTTTTCTGTGTATAGGAACTTCTGATAACCAGACAGAGGAAGTCATTAATGGAACATTGAGCTATCAAAATGTTCAATACATGGTAATTCTGAAGAATTTGTCCTGGAATGATGCAATGGCTGCATGCATAAATAACAAGATGCAGCTGGTTAGCATCACAGATCAGTTCCAGCAGGCTTTTCTTGCTGTTCAGGCGGCCCTTCATAATTACCCACTCTGGATTGGACTCTTCAGCAGAGATGTAAGTTCTAGTTTTCCCTCAGACTATGGCTTAAGGTAATTTTTAGAGTTGTGTGAAACAGAACCTGAGTTAAAGAAATGCATTTTTTTATCTGTAAGTGTAGATCATATGATTCATTTTGCATACAGTACAGGCATGCACTGGCTTTTCACTATTGCAGTGCTTCATTATTTGGGCACAATTAAAAAATCACATGAAAGGAAATTATAATGAAACTGGTCAACAGAACTTGTTACTCAAGTGCTGGAATCATAGACACAAAAGAAAGATACAAGGTAAGTTAAATAACAAAGCAGCAGGGGGATTTCCAGAAGATGACTTTCAAATGTAAGATTTTTAAGGATGACATGCTGCTTGTATGTGGTTTTTTCTTATTCCTCTTGCATCCTCGAGGCAGGGCAGGAACGCAGCATCTGATCCATTAAATAAATTAAGTATTTAATAGATTACTTTCAACTTGGTACGGAGTAACTAAGAGAGGACCTTATTCTCAGTTATTACCAGTTTTCCAAGACCAGATAATTATATCCACCATTGATTCGTAGATACAAGTGATGCAATTTGGACATCTCACTGTCAGGCCTTCTTCCATAAACACAGTAGTTAAACATCACCATTGGATAATTTACCATCCACTTCAGCTAATTCGCATATTTGCAACTGCAGAACTTAAAATAATGAAACTTGTTACAGTGTGAACAGCAGATCAGATCATGAGGGCAGTGGAACACTTACAGTTCTCACCAGAGACACTGTAAATGTTTAGCCAGTGTAAATACATTGTCATGTCATTTTCTGTACCTCATATTTTTTACTATGTAAGCTCATCCCTTTTACTTAAACACCTCTAGGGTGGAAAGCATTATGGCTGGCTGGATGGGAAACATGTTAGTTTTAGTCGCTGGTCTGAAGATGATGAAGAAACAAACGAAGAATGTGTGTTTTTGGACACTGATGGCTTCTGGAAAAGTTCTGACTGTTCCTCTGAAAATCGAGGTGCTATTTGCTACGCATCAGAAAGTATGTATACTAGCAAAATATTTATGAAAGCTGAATTTTGTTTTATTGTGAAACATGTTTGATGATTCCAGCTCGTGACTTCAAAATTACAACTTTTTTTAAATTACAGTTCATCAGACAGGCTGATTTGCAGTGAAAACCAGCTTCAAATGGGGGGGCATGCACCTCTTGGTCTTAATACACTTGTTCCTTAGAAATAAATTCAGCATGGATTCATTGGGTCAAACTACCCTTATTGCCAACTGATTGTACCTTTGCACTGCTTCTCTAAAATTGTTGCATACTAATCTCTTCCACTTGCAAGTGGAAGACGATTCAGCTACCTCTGTCCTATTTACATCTTAATATTGGGACCTCCTGAAATCTCTTCAGATATGAAAGTCTATACAGGGAAGAGGTGCATGACTATATGTACAAGAAAGGTAGGAGATAGACACTGAATTGAAAGGTGTAAATTAAAGTCATCTGCAGTTCACAAAACCCTTCTAAATATCTAATTATAACAAGAAAGACAGGGATGTAGTAGGACATGTTTTTTTATTTTCAGGAAAGTGCTTGCTAGTTATGTATCCTTCAGAAAACAATCATTCTGAGAGATCATCAGAGATATCTTCCTTATGAGACCATTATAATTAAGGGGTTTTTGTTTGTTTTTTTTTTCTGTGAGGGGACAGAGCTAAGCCGTTGTACATCCCGAGTCAGAGTAAAGTGTGGCATTATGACACCGTTAGCTATCTTTTGCTTGCAATCTAGGCAACTGGAGGAAGAGTCCTTCTCACTCCTCAAGGGTTAGATAAAGCCACAGAACTAAGATGTGTTGCTAGCTATGAAGTAGCTTATTTATGATGGTGATCTGCCTTGCAAAAGTGTCAGTAAGAGCTTTTAGTTACTGACCCACACTTAGCACTTTTGTGTACGGGTTTTATTCTTAAACCTATTTAACATAATAATTTTGAAAATTTGTAAGCAACTGTGTTCTTTAGTAGAGCTTACTGCTCCTTTTGCTGCTTTAAAACATCATCATGAGGAAAATGAAAGCAACAATGTGTCACACATTTAGAGGATGGCACTTAATTTGTCTTACATGTTTTTAAATAGTACCTGAAAGTGGCTTGTCATGTCAGATTAGGTGGTGGTAATAGTAAGTCATGTCCTGAATGTCATCTTTTCTTTCTTTAGAGGAGACTGAAAAAGAACAAGTTTCCCAAGTGAAGTGCCCACATAAGATTAAAAATACACCTTGGATATCATTTAGAAACAATTGTTACACTTTTATGATAACAAAAAATAGATGGAGAGAACTGAAGTCTCAAGAAGCTCATCATTTATGCAGGAAAATGAGTAAGTACTTTGTCATATTGCAGATATTTATGAACTTAGCTTGAGGGAGATGAATTTTAGATCTGAGTCACAGTCTTACAATGACAGCAAAGTGAGAGTGAGAAAGGTTGTAGCATTTAGAAATATGCATGTGTTGGACTCCCTGATGCTGTTTGCTCTTGCACAGCTCTGATAAAAAGTTGCCAGAGCATGTGGTAGGAGAGTTGGAGAGAAAGAGAGATGGCTAGGATCTACTGAACTCTTGAGATCTCTGAAAAATCGGAAGGTTTGTTTTTGTGTTTGGTTGGTTTGGGTTTTTTCTCTATAATATGCCAATTTCAAATGGGTTGCATAATCGTTATCCCCTTGGCAACATTCTGGCTTTACAGTCACATTTAGTTCATGGTTTGCCTCCGCTTTGTGGAACACTTAGGTGAACAAAGTAAATAGACTGAGAATAGTCCAATACAGAAAAGCACATAGACTTTTTCTGTTTTCCTGAATTAAGTGTAAGCTTAGGAACAGCATCCCTCTTAAATCTTCAGATTTGCATCTTTCCAGAAATTATTTTTATTTTTTGTGAATTGATTTCAATTCAGTCTTAATACTGTTTCTCTACTAGGGAAGTTCATGCAAATCATGAAAGATTGCTGATATTTTTATGTTCTATACAGAAAATTTTTATTACAGAGTCACTGAATATGCTGAGTTGAAAATGGCAGTAGGACCCACAAATATCTCTGGAGCTGATATCTTTCACTTATCAACAAAATCAGGGGAAGCACTATTGATAATATGTTTGAAATTTTTTTTTGCACTGTTCACTTATGTTATAAAGATCTGACCTTTGCACACTGTTGACCTATCTGTAATAATTATTAACAGTAATAGAAAAGAATAGTTACTTTGAAACTGACACGTGAATTTGTAAGAAAGTAATGTAAAAAAATTTTCAACAGACCCAGAAGCATTTGTTCTGAGTGTTCGAGATGAAGAAGAGAATAACTTCGTTACTGAGCAGCTTCATTCATTCAGCGGTCTGGCTCTGTGGGTCTGGCTGGGTGTGATTTATGATGACAGTGGTAAGATTTAAGGGATTTTTTTTTCTTAATAGATTGGAGAGAAAGTTAGCAGCATTAAGTGCATGGTTTTTGCATGTTTCAGTTTATAACTAAAGTCAAACTGAATGCAAACCTATAATGCTTTATATTTGTAATTATCTTCTAGAAGGAAACAACTGGGCACGCTCTCTGTTTCAGTGATAATTAGATCCAGTATGTTCTGTTTAGTCTAGATTTGATTTCCCTGGAAAGCAGGACTTAAAATGGCCAGGATAAATAATGCTAACATATTTAGCATTAGATATGGTACTGATTTAGAGTAACTTCCAGTATCACTGCATTTTTTTTTAAAGTAAATATCTGTTAATGTAATTAATATATTCAAAGTTAAGTAGTATTTGTAGACACAGTGCTAGTATTTTAATAAATACACAATGTTTTCCACAGATAAAATTCTCAAGTGGTATGATGAAACTCATCTGACTTACAATAACTGGAGGCTGGGAAGACCTATCATAAAGAAGAACAGTTTTTTTGCTGGTGTAAACCTTGATGGGTTTTGGGACATTTATAATTATTCTCAAAGTTGGCACGCCAATCACTATAACATGTACAGTATTCTTGCCTGTAAAATCGAAAGGGGTAAGTAGTATTGGAGTGTTGGATGAGGGTCGTAATTTAAATGCTGGTTCCTGCTATATAAGGCTTTGGCTTTGCTCCTAGTGAAACACGTGGCACAGCTACCATGGGCGTCTGGGCGTCATGTGGTCATTCTGTGCATCACTGCTGTAATACTCTGCTCAGGAGGAATGTGTTTGCTGTGCTCATCTGGCAGCTACTCAGTGTTCAGAGTAGCAAAACTTACTTGATATTAGCTTGTACTGAACACTTTAATTCTTGAGTTACATTGATACAGATGAATTTTAATGTTTTCTGTATTTTCCTAATAACATGAACAAATGCACAGAACTTCTTGTCTTCTTATTCTTTGAAATAGGACCCCAACAGCACAAGCCTCCGTTGCCCGAGTCTATTCCACATGGAAACAGAACATACAGGATCCTTCAGAAAAAATTAACCTGGTATGAGGCATTGAGAGCATGCAAACAAAATGAGAGTGATTTAGCAAGTGTACACAGTGAATCACAACAGTTATTTCTAGAAGATATTGTCAAACAGGATGGTTATCCTCTGTGGCTTGGGTTGTCAGTTCATGATGTAAGTAAATATTGTTGGTGACATCTGTAACAGAGCTTGTAAATAATATTTTGGAGAAGATATGAAATATTTTCTGATGCTTCTTTGCAGTTTCTTAGATTCTCTCATGCAATGTATTACCTCCTTTTTCAATCCTGTGTAACATATGTTAATATTAAATGTTAGTGAGATATTTCTTCCAAATCCTTGACACTTTAAAATAATACAGTGGTCCCACATCATTCCTTGCAGCACAGGGATGTGTGATTTGCAGTGCTACCTTTTGAGGCTTCAGGCTTTACGGCCCTCTATTCTAGAATCTAGAATCAGATTCCATCAGCAAATAAAGAGAGGCAAGACTGTGTAGAACTTGCTTAGTCCAGGTCAAGACTGGCTCTCCAAAGCAGTTCAGGAACTGACTCTCAAGCTGGTTATGTGTCCCTTCTCCCAGGAGGCATAACAAGAGGCAGCTGCAAATCTTCTTCCTCCTCTGACTGCTTTCCTGTGGAGCCAAAAGCCTGTGGCACTGACCCTGCTCCCCTCACTAATTGCCAGACCTAGCCATAGTGAGTTGGCAGGAATACTCCTCTGCAGAGGTGATTTCTGCACACACCTGTTCTACCTCTGGTGTCTTGTGACCTGAACGGCTCCCTCCACAACTGACTCCTCACTGTCACAGGTTTCCAGGAACGTATCTGAAGTAGGAACCAGCACTGCAAATCATTCCTCAGCTGCCCAGCTTTATTCACTGAGGCCATCTCGACAGTTTAGCAGTTTGCAACATATCCACTAACGTTCACAGCAGGGAAGGCAGACTGCTTAAATGAAACAGCAGGATGGATTTAAGTGAGATGTTCCCCGTAGAATAAAATAGGCACATTGCAGGTTTAAACTTGCAAACGTGCTGTACTTTCTCATTTCCCACAAATAATCAGGATTTCTGTGTTAAGAATTGATTGGAAAATGCAAACTATGTTGTACATTTCTTTACTATAGATTTAGATGAGACCCCCTCACTTTAATTTACCCCTATACTAGGAACAAATATTGCTACAGGACTTAACTCATAACCGATAGGATTTAAACTACAACCATATGTGGTTTAAAAGTTATTGTTTTTTCTTTAATTAGGGAAGTAAAGCTAATTTTGAATGGTCAGATGGAAGTGACTTTGACTACTATCCTTGGGAATTAGAAAACTCAAATACTACTGAGAACTGTGTTCTGTTGGATACTAAAGGATCTTGGAACCGTACAAAATGTACAAATGTTGCTGAAGGTGCCATTTGTTATAGCCCTCCAAACAGTAAGTGTTATTAAGATTTTGTGTAGTTGTCTTTTGTCTTTATATGTTGTATTTAGAAGCAGAAATGAAGGTTGAAATACTACAGGAGTCCCTCTTTAAGAAGAGTTTTCTGTCAGGGATGATAAAACACTTTTTAGTACTTCAGGGAGATTAATTTTCTCCATTCCAGTGGTGAAAACCTAAAACAAACCTGGCTAGTTTTTGATCACCTGTGATATGAATATGAAATGTATGTATCTTTTATGAATCAGAGTACTTATCAAATATGTACAACAACCTTCAAAACCCACTAAAAAGCAAGAAAAATAGTTCCCAAGCCTTTGGGATTTGTCTTATGCTCATTTTCAAACAAATTCATCTGTGACACGTGAAGAAGGAATGTAAGCTAATTGAATAATGGTTTTTGGTAGGAGTAGCAGTCCTTGTTAATACTTACTGTCCTGTTACTCCAGAGAGACTGCGCAAACGGCTGCAGCAGAAATAACATCAAGTTTCTTTGTCTTTGCAGAGAGGCAGTTCCAGGCAGAGCAAGAGAGCAGAGCCTCAGGATGCCCGCAGAGCAGTGGTGCCCTACAGTGGGTACAGTACAAGGATCACTGTTACGCGTTTGACATGGCATTCTACAATTTTTCAGTCTATAATATGGAAGAGGCTAAGAAAGTCTGCCAGAAACTGAGTATGTTTAGATTCCTTATCACATTACATCTTGTAATTAGTCCACTATTTGAGAAGAAATAAAACCCAACAACCAAAAAACCTATACTGATTATACTTCAACTTTGCCTGTTTTGTTCTTCTTTAGTTTAGGAAAAGCAATAGCAAGCTCTATCTTTGAATGTCTGATGAAAATTCTTAATAAAATGCTGCACTGTGCTGACACATTCTTTGGCACACAGGTATCTACAAATAAAATTCAGGTAGCGAGTTGTAGAAGATCCAGAAATTTAAGGCTTGCATTTTGGAGGAAAACAGTTTACCTGTATACAATGTTAGTCCTCTTAGCAATGCTTTCTTGTATCCTTGCAGTAGCTGCTTGCTAGTAGGGAGCCTGTTAACTTTTCAAATGGTTCAAAGCATGTACTTTATAGATATTAAGGCACATAATCTCACTAAAAAACTTAATTTTTTTGTCAAGTTAAAGGATTTTATCTCTTCTTTGATGAGCTGCATGGGCAATTATATTGCAGAGATACTGTTAAGCAGTTTCATTTATAGAAGTTTTAACCACCTTAACTGAGAAGTTAGTGACTATCATAACTTTCTTTTATGGAATTATAGTGTGAAGTTGAACTCACTATGTAGGATGAAAAAGAACCAGTCCTGGATACAGTTTTCTGTTGAGTCCAACTTGGTCTGATAGTTGAAAGAGAACTTTCTCTAAATTAAGCTTCTGGCTTGTTAAAGGATGCATACTCTCTGAGCATGTCTATAGTACGTTCTTTCCTCCCTTTTTTTCCATAATTACTGTAACACTGTATAAAAGAACCTGAGGCACAATGAGAGGATTAATTTAGAAATTAATGTGACTCAGCAAAATGCTGAGCTTTTGTTCAACTATATTTTTGAGAAGGGCTTATTACTTGGACAAGGCTAGTAATTTTCAGTGGGCATATATTCTGGTATTTTCCATGTATGTATTCTGCAGCTGCAGTAAGTTTACTCACGTTTTATTTTTTATAACTTACTAGAGTAATCAGTCATCTGAAGCCATCTTGTATAACATGCTGTATTTTAGAGGATGGGAGGTTCATATCTTTATTCTGAAGGTTACTTCAAGCTTATTTTACAAGCCCAGATCAGCAAATCTTTTTGCACAGCAATTGTTCCCACAGAAAACTCTGTGTACAAGCACTATGAAAAATCTTGTAAGTGACAATTCTGACTGGTTTCCTCTGCCACTTAGATCCTTCAGCAACCCTTCTGACTATAGTGGATGCTGAGGAAAATGCATTTGTGAGCAAACACGTAAGGGAACATGATCTCATCACCAAGAATGTATGGCTTGGCCTGGCTCAGAACTCTAAGGGTAAGAAGTAGCAACTGTGTGTGACCATTAGTGTTTCATGTGGTAAATGAAAATGCATAAATCCTCAACTAAGAATAGTTTCATAGTATTGGTAGCGTACAGTAACTTCTGCTTGAGGTTGGAATCCCTTATAAAGCCCTTTGGACTTGATTGTAGTAAAATCTCTTCCTATTGCATACCTAGGGTAATCAGGAGTCACTGAAAATCATTTTTCCCAAAGCTGCTATTGGTGCCTAATGGTTAAGCTGCAGATGCATCAACTGATAAAGGCCTAGAGAAGAGGTGTGGCTAAAAGTTACATGTTCATATTTACTGCTTTTAATATATGAGATGAATAATCAGCCCTGTTCCTTTTTGCAATGTAAAGAAGTCAACAGATTGTTAATGACACTGTGTAGCATTACAGCATGTTTTGGTGATCTAAACTAAGCAATTATTTTTCCCAACAGGTCAGTCCCTGAACTGGCTGGATGGCTCATCAGTTACTTACGTCAACTGGGAGAATAAAACTGCAGGAGCCAATGAAAAATGCAGTGTTATCACATCCAGAACTGGCACGTGGTCCAAAGTTGATTGCAGTCGTAGTCAAAGCAGAGTGGTTTGCAAAGCTCCTTTAGGTATGGAGGCATTGCCTTTAGGGGAGACTTAATTTTGTAGAGGCGGTTTTCAGGGTTTTCTGGTTTGTTGGGTAAAGTCTGTGTTGAAATAACTGAAGTGCAATTCACAGAAGAACCCATCAAGTACCTCTGCCTAAGCAAGAGTCTTCAGTTGTTGTTTAGCCATAAAATTGCATTCAGAGACAAATTATCTAGGAATTTACTTCTCCTGGCTTCCACTGTCCACTCAGTGGATAAGGGAGAAAACTGAAATGTCCACTTAGAAGTACGCATAGAGTAGTTGCTATTGCTTCTTACCACAGGGTATCTGTCATGGGTGAGTCTGTGTAGGTGGAATCAGAGTTCTGCTTGTAAGAGATGCTGAGTAAGCAGGTACTGCAGATTGTGTTTTCAGTCTTGAGGAGGCTTCTGGAAAGGAGCTCCAGGAAAAGGCTCAGGCTGCATGTTACTTCCTCATGCTCTGCTTTGTACAGGAGAGAGAGCAATTACCTGAGCATTAAGCAAGCAAGTTTCTGAGAAGCAGTGGGATCTTTCTGATTTTGTATACATTTTCACTGAGGTGGAAATGCAGGAATAGTTTTGATTTCATGCTGCTAAGGAAGACCTCAGTAAGATCTTTTCAGTCTGAAAGAAGTATAATTGTCTTCTATTCCAAGTGCTTCCATCCAAGAGTCCAGGACCTCATTAAATTTATGAGGTATGCAAACCTATAAATGACTGCAGCATTTACAAGTAGGTTTTTTGACCTCTGGAGGTCCCTTCCAACCTAAATATTAGTAAATTAACAACAAAATTATGAAAAAATAAGTTAATACATTCTCATATGAATCAGCATCTAACTTCCCATGTGATGAAGTGGAGACTTAATATGATGAAGGAGTTTGCCTTGACTTCAACTAAATGCATGCAGGAAGAGTGTAGAGCTACCTACGTATGAACCCCATGACAAAATATACTTGCCAAAACTTTTACAGAATTACTCTTTGTCTTTTTTTCTGTTTCAGGTTCTAATCATACTGGTGTGGCTGTAGCATTTGCCCTGCTAGTTATCTTAGTCTTTGCTGGTGGGCTGGTGTTCTATCTCTACAAAAAGAAGCGTCTTCACTGGAGTGCCTTCTCTTCAGTACGCTATCAGCGAGGCATGAACGATGATGAAACCGATGATATGTTCACAAAAGATGGCTATTGAGAAACTTCCTTCTGGTTAATTTAAGAAAGAACTTCACTGTGTGAAGCCATAAGAAATTAGCTGCTTGATGTTCTATTACTTCTTTTTGGAAAAGTAATAAGGTTATGAATGGGGGCTAAAATTTGTTCTTTTATATGCAAGTGCAATTTTCTGATAAAAAGTCAGTAGTAATTATAGGTTTCTAGAGTTCTGTTGTATTTTTTAATTTATAGCATTTTCTCTTTTTACTGGAAAGAGCTTTTAATAGAATAAATTAATGCCAACAGCACTTCATGCAACATCAGTTTAATGAATACACTTAAAATTTACTTCCCCCAATACTTTTATTTATACTAGGATTAAATGCCTAACTTTATGGTTACCAGCCTGTAACTTAATAGGTGAAATGTGTCATCTGTCCAAGAAGATAAAAGATAAGTCTAAGGAAAGAGTGAGAAAGAATATATGGTAAAAAAACTTGTGTACATAAATGCTAAAAATACTTGAGTATTATACATAAAACTTAAACTTGATTTTTATATGTGATGTGTCACTGTAGCCTATCCTATGCACTCCAAAGAAAGCTTTAAAGGAAAAAAGGGAAGACAGAGTTGTATATATTAATTGCTAAACGATTTGATCAATTAATGTTTTGAAAAAGTCTTTTGACTTTTTTTAATGCACAGTACAAAGAACAGGTGCATTTACTTTTATGAAGGAGGATATGCAAAAGACCAAATGTGTTCTGCACGTGGTGGTGTCATGAGATGGTAAATAGGAATATGTTTGGACTGATGTGCTGAGAAGAGTACTACTGATTTCTCTGAAGCAGCGGTGCGAGGTCACGATGTCCAACTGCCTTTTTTCCTGCAGTTTACTTATGTTGATGGCACTTTTCTTTGTTCCTGTTTGCACTATTTTGATAAGCGAATGTTTATCATTTGTGTTGAGAAATAGAGAACTTTTTATAGATACTATTTTGAGCCTGTTAAAACAACAGCCTGAAAGGGGCAAGTTAAAGGAGCCATTGTGGTAGTTTGCTGATCAAAGAAGTAAAGCACTTTTGTTGTTTGTTTGGTACTTTGGGCACAATTGTGAACAAATAGCTTTCCTGAGATAACTTGCAGAAAAAGTACTTATGATGCTAGTTACTGTGTAATGAAAATAACTTTCATTCTTTAGCTTACCCTGGTGTGAAAAGTGTTTGAAACATTGCAAAGCCTGGTTCCTGATGTCTTCTGGTTAAGCTTATATGCCTAAGTGCTTTGCCAAATGACTTTTAACTTAATGGATTAGAAAAAGTGTTGGTTATTGTCTTTTTCTACCTACAGTAGTAAGTGGGGAGAATTATTTAGAAGTTCCCGTGTTTTGAGATTTACTAGTTTTATAGATGTTTATACTTTGAGCATTTTTAGGTGTGAATCTGAAATGTAAAGTGTCACTTGGTAGTAAAATCCTAATTCAATACAAAAAAAATATATACTTTTTATTAAAAATTGTATATTTTATTCTTATGAATGATGTAAATAATTTTTTAAGGCCCCATTTCTCATGTTTGTTTCATCATACCCAAATTGTCTGATCACTGGTAAGTCTTTTTTGAGTAAGCACAATGGCCTTAGTGCAGGTGAATAACCCACTTCATCTGAAATACACAGAAAGATTATTTAGGAGTACTGTTATTGAAAGAATAAAGTTAAATAAACCACTAAACTGCTTACACTGGTTTTATTTCCATGGAAGCAGTTATCAGAGCTAAGGTACAGCTCATTAATCACTGGGTAAAAAAAGCACATAGCACAGGGGCTGTGATTGGAATTAAAGCAGGTAACAATAAGAAAACTTTAGAGATAATAAATATCTTTGATGTGTTTAAAAAGAATGCTGGTAACTTTCTTTTTGCAGTTGAAAACTTAGTTTATCATGGAACTTGGTTATACCTAGTTTTTATCAGGCTGCTTCAGGCTTACACAGTAAGGGAACATGCCTCTGCTGTTTTTGTTTTAATCAAGGGGTAGTTCATTAGCACTTCAAGGCCCAAATTAACTCCAAAGCAGTGTATAAAGGCTTCCAACATAACTTCTCATAAAATATGGGCAAAGTTAAATTACTTCCAGCCAAGTTAACGCTTGTAATTAAAGCATGAGATGTATTCATTTTAAGTACCACATGAAGTCTGAATTCCAGATTTCCAGAATCTGCAACTGCTGGTCAAGGGGCAGTGTTATTTTCATCTCCGCTAATGGCTTGCTGGGAGAAGCATCCTATTGTGTGAGATGACTAACAAGGTCATCTGCTTCACAAACATAACTGAAGATGATGCACAGGGAAATGGCAGCAGAGAAATGAAGTGCTTTCCCAGGTCCCAGAGCAATGGTGTTGAGAAAGCATCCTTCATCCCAGAGCACAGACTGACTGCCAAGTGTGGTACCTTGAGGGAAAAAGTATACAACTTCAGTTCCTCTTCCTGAATTTTGCCCAGTCCCGGGAGACTCTGGGTCATGGAAAGGTTAATCCACATCCGCCATTACACCAGCCAGCATTTTTATTTTAGCGTATTACTGCATCAATAACTTAATTGACATAGAAATCAACAAGTGTTTACACTTGAGCACCATTTGGGCCTGATGCTTGGGTTGTACTCAGCATTTTTTCCCTTAAACCAAATGCACCATCTGCTCATTGCCCTGGACATATGTTACACATCTAAACATTTTTGAAAGGAGGAAGTAAATTCCGTGGCCTGCCAGTGGTATTTTTTTGGTGTGGCTGCAAATAAAGACCATACATTACAATTTTTGTTGCTAAAAGTCAGGGCTACAGTTTGGACCCTTTATGGGTCTGCTGTTGCTGCGTGTTTGAAGCACAGTGGGATGTGTAACACCCAGCTTTCCCCAAGTTAGTCAAATTCCTTCTGTTGCCAAGAAGTACATAAAGTTCTTATTGGCCAAATTAAACAGACTTTTCCAGTTTTAAAGCAAGAACTATGAGCAATATTAAGGAACTAAGCTTAGGAAAAATAGGAGAGTAAAATTCAATTGTCACTCTAATGGACCTTTCCCATTTCATTCTGGAGTTTTAAGATGGGAGTTGACAAAGTGCTAAAGAAGGTAATTTTCTGTTAATAGCAAATTAACTTCCAAATGTTGCATAGCATAAATGCCATTATAAAATGCTGTTATCTTGGGTTTATTTGTTTATGGCTAAACCACAACAATGGTGTTTTCACACTGAAAACTCCTGTGCACTCTGTCGTAATATCTGTCAGTAACTATGATTTTTAACAGATTTGAGGGGTAGGAGAGGATACCAGATGAGGTTTTTATTGTGATTACGCAGCAATGCAACACAGACTGTAAGTCCTTATGGATTTCTTTTTGCCAATGCATCAGGGACTATAATTACAAACAGAACAACAGCTGTTTTTTTGTTTTGCTGTTTTTCAGCATAAATAGAATAATTTACTCCAACATGGCTTTTTAAAAAGGGAAATTTCAGCAATACAAAAGAATTATTTCAAAATGAGTTTTCTTCACTATGCTGGCTCCTTTTGTGTGCATTTTTTGTTACAGAACCAATGAGAACAGATCTTTTTCTGCAGTCTCAGGACACTGATATGGATAGTATGAGTATTGCGCCTTTTCAGATGTTATGTGTTATAGTTTCCCTTAAAGAGATTATATGGGGCAGATAATTTTACAAAACCATGGTGCTATACTTCATAGAAACTAACAAGCCTTTATGCATATTCAAATTAAACTTTAAAAGTAGTGTGCTGAGATGATTTTACAAATATGCATGATTAAATGTCATCCCCATTAGCAACCGAACTGCTTTCTCTTTCATTGAAATGTCTTTATTTTCATAAATATGATCTGGGTATTTGAAGAGTACCTTGTGTTACATGAGAATGAATTGTATGTGTGTGTGGCTAATAGAGTCACACTTACCCAGGGCTTGCATCAGGAGCTGCTTTGAGGGCTGGGTTTCTGAAATTCCATCTTTTGTTGTCACCTATGGCCACCATTCTTCTTTGTACTTGTTCTTTCTCTTACCAGCTCTGCAGCACTGGTAGTTAAGCCACCAAATGGAGAACACAACACCACAGATACAGGAGCCAGTCAGGCAGCCTTAACACCAGGGCAAGCTGCCAGGAACGGAGACCAGAAAGCACCACTTCCTATACAGAGCAGCAGCCACAGGCCTGAAACACGTGGGATGAACGCTACCAACAGCCCCACAACACTGCCATAGGGTGCAGAGAAAAGGCCAGAATAGCCACTCCGGACAGCTGGAACATCGTCTAACACCAGGACACCACAGCCTTGGCAGGTTTGTTCCCCTCCTCTGTGAGTTCCTCTCCCCGCCTTCAGCAGCCTGGGATAGAGCTGTTCCCTTGACCCTTGACCAAGTGCTCACAACACTGACAATGAGGAGTTTGCTGTGGACAACAGCCAGCTCTCCCCTCTTGCAGCCCCGAGGGACTCCTTCCACACCTCCCCTCCTTCTTCAGCCAGGGCACCTCCTACCGTGCAGATTAAGGGCATTTGTAAATGCTTAAAGGCCTTTGTACCTCACACAAATCTTACCGTGCAGGTTTTCCTTTATATTGCTTTGCTCAAACAGGGCAATTTACCAAGATTCAGCCATCCTGGGGGAGCTGAGAGGAGATTGCTCCTGGTTTAAATACCCCTGTGCCCATGGGCACACCCTGACAGGGCACAAACATGGAGCAGCTGAGTTGCCCTCAGCCTCACACTGCAACAGGAGAAAGAAGCAAGGCAGGTAAGTTGCTCCTACTGATGTGTGTGCCTCAGTAGTGGACCTGCAAAAACTCTGCCCAGTGTGTAACCCGTTACTGAGCCAGCTGAATTTATCCTGACAGGTTGTCATTACTTCATTGAAAGTCAGCCAGAAGTTATAGGTGTTTGCTTTTACAGGAAAAATGTGTTTATACTGGTAATCCTGAGCCCTCAGAGGAAGGCCTGAGGCACCGTCATGCAGGGGCCAGAGCCTGAGGGCTGCAAGGGGCCCCAGACCTGTCCCTGTGTGCAGCAGGGGCAGGAGGGGGAGCTGGGCACACCAGCAGCCAGCTGTGCTCTGTAGCCAGCCCAGCTGTCTGAGCCAAAGCAGGGCAGGAAATGTCTGTCAGGAACCAAGCATCACCCAACTTAATGCATGTGTCCTGGATTGCATTCAGATCTAAACACCAGTGCAGAGTTCAGGTGCCCCATGAGACTGAGTCCTTCCCAGTGGGTGTGAAGGCTGTCCAGCGGTGCTGAAGGGCAACACTGGACAGGAGGGTGGGGATAAGTGACTTTGACTGATAATCGAGTTACTGGCATTCACCTTGGTGTTGACAGTGGCGTGGGGCCAAAGTGTATATCCAGTTGTGCATTAGGAATCTCCGGTATTAAAAGTGGCCAAGAGCCTAGCAAATTTGCATTCCACCAATTTCGTTTATATTTTACAGTGGGGGCTGGAATTCATGTGTGAGGAATTTGCTTAAAGGCCCAAGGGAAGAATGAAATTTTGAGGCCAATGCACAGAGTAATTATAGAACAAACAGCCTACATGGTGAAAGGCTCTGTGTTTTAGAACAATAAACATTTGAAGTTTACAGACAAACTGGTTTAATAACTAGACGCACGAGCTTGTGATACAACTTACCAGAGGCTGTGTCTTTGTGTATAAACCATTTTGTGTTTATGGTGTAGGTGCTGATTATAAATTGGCATGAAACTAGTTCATATAAAATAAACATTAGAACATTCAAACTTGAATTAACTATTAAAAAAATACTGGCGTGGAGTCCCAAAGGGACTGCACATTACACTGACAATGTGATCAAACAGAATTAAAAAGGGAGTGAGGGCTTTTAGTTGGCTGCCACCTTGGATGGTTATTCAGGGCTGCCATTCATAAATGCATTTGTGCATGTTGCTGTAGTCATGCTGGACCTGCAGTGGTGCATGTTTGTTGTCATGATAGTGATGTATTAGATAAAACAAGTGCAGTTTGAAATTCAACAGCTGCACAGAAGGGAGATTGGATAGCTTGTTCTTGCTTCAATCCATGGGAACCAGGGCTGGCCTCTGAGTTTGCCACCACAAAAAAATTCAGCTTCAGTTGGTGGCAGCCCAGGAGGTAGTGAATGAGAGGGACAGGCCATGCCAAACCCTGATGTGGCAGAGAAATGCTTTGTCACAAGAGGGATATTCAGGAGAGACATTATGGGCTCTGCAGCCTGGGTTTGGTTTTGACACCCTGCACCCAACCAACCAGTAGCTGCCTGTGTGTGACAGTGTGACATAAGGCTTCCTAAGCAGAATGTGGTACAGTTTTGGAAGCAGACAGACAGGAATATAACAGCTGAAGGAAGAAAAGCAACTGCTGAAGTAAGCAAAGGCAGTGCTAGCCTTGAATAAAGACCTGGAAAGTCTATGCAAGTGGGTAAAGATGGAGAAAAAAACACAGTATTTGAACAGTTGGAGACTGAATTGCATAGACCAATCTGCAGGGTTCCAAGGCTCTCAGAGCATGTGGCCAAGGGATACAGGAGAGTATGATGATGGGAATTACGCATCACTGCTTGGTTTCCATACCTGTGCATGAACTGGAGGAACTTTTTCTGCTAGTGGAATGGTCTGTGTGTGTTACTGCCTCCAGTTCTGATTTACCACTTCAGGGACACCAGCTCTTAGGTGAGCATC